GAGTAGAAGCGGCTTCATCATTAACCTGTTGCAGATACAGTAACTCAGCTACGCATCAAAGGGACCCGGGAGCGCCTCGGGAGCCACCATGTGCCACGGAAAGTCAGAAAGAGAGCTGTCTACAGCGGGACCCTCTCTGGAGACCTGTGCGGGTTGGTGATGAAACTCCTCGTCATACTCTGGGGGCTGGTGTTGAATCTGCAGTTGGAAGAACACCAGCACCTCACAGAGAGCCTCGGGAAGGCAATGAGAACTCTCCGGATAACGATGCCGTTGATAAGCTTGCCAGGCTTGTCCTGAAGACCTCCTCCACACTAGGCCAAACATCTTGGTGGCTTAACAGATGACCCATTGTCATCCACATCCTAAGCTCTGTGACCACGAAGAGGCTACACTGCAGGTCTTAGCTTTTTATCTGTTTGAACCTCGACATAACTGACAATGAAGTTGACTTTTGGGGCAGAGATGAACAGGTGCTCACCAAGAATTTCACCTTCCCTCTCTAGGCTCACAGAAAGACTGCATTTTCCAGACGCACTTGTGAAGGGTTGCAACTGAAGGGTTAAAGAGAATGAAATAAAACAGAAGGTCAATAGCAACAGCAGGAAGTTAAATAATAAGAGAAAAACCCAGCTGGGCGTGGTGACACATGCATGCCTTTAATCCTAGCGCTTGGGAGGCAGAGACAGGCAACCTCTGTGAGTTTGAGGCCAGGTGGATCTACAAAACGAGTCCAGGGCGGCCAGGGCTACATAGAGAAACCCGGTCTTGAAAAAAACCCAACCCAAACCAAACCAAAAAACCCAAACTTTTTGATGAACTTGAAAATTACACACAGGCACACAGCATTCAGTTAGATATGTGTGTGTGTTTGTGTGTGTGTTTTGCTTTGTTTCAAGTGTGTGAAAACTGATTTTTATTGTCAACCCAACTGTATTTAGAGCCACCCAGGGAACATATCTTAAGGTGCACCTGTGAGGGTGTTTCTGAGGTTTAACCGGGGAGGGAAGACCCACCCTTCATGTGGGTGACACCATTCCCTGGGCTTGAATCGAACTGAATAAAAAGGAGAAAGGAAGCTGAGCACGAACTTTTGCTTCTTTCTGCTTCCTGACTGTGGGTACAAGGTAGCCATGCCTGTCCCACCATCATGGATCAAACCACTAAGGTCACATCATAAGCCCCAGCAAACCCGTCCTTCCTTTCTTCGGTTGCTTTCTCCAGGTATTCAGAGCTGTGAGAATCAATACAGAGAGGAAACAAGGAGGCTGCAGGGCAGGACAGGGCAGGGTCTGACCCATCCAAAGCACTTCAAAGTCCCTTTTGAAGATGTAATTCTCACCTCATGTGATTCACACGCTTAGCCTAACAGGGCCAGGGAAGCCCTGTCAGCACACTGACAGTTGTGAAGTTACTGGTCATGGGTTCATTTTAGAACAGTTTAATCGACTGTATGAGAAACTGGGCTCAAGCATTCATTTCTTCCTCCACCTTTCTCTAGATCCCTAAGCAACCACTAAGCTGCTCTTAGTCACTCTCAATTTGCCTGTTCAAAATATTTCTCACAAATGGGACGGTACAATTTTTTTTTTTTTACCATCTTTCTTTCTTTTGCATTTTCAAGATTCAACTGTGCCGTCGAATACAGCAATGGTTTTTTATTGCTCACTGGCGTTCTATCATAAGCTGTTCTATCGTACGGCTGCGCATTTGTATTGCTTCCACTGGGGCCTGTGGTAAGCTGTGCTGCTGCGAACATCTGTGCATGAGTTTCGTACACTGTCACTTCACTTGAAGTGGTTGGGTCATACAGGACCTCTGTATTTCATTGTTTGAGGAAGCGGTGGATATTTTCCAAAGCAGCTGCACCACGCTCCATTCCCTCCAGCATGGTCTCCACATCCTTGTCAATATAAGTGACCAAGTCTAATTTTTTTTAAAATCAGAATTCCACAGTGAGTATGAAGTAGATTTCTCCCATGTAATTATCTTTATTATTTGTGCTCATTGAGCTCTTGAGTATCTTTTTATTATTTTTTTTTTGAGAAAGTTCTTTCATTTCTTTAGCTCATCTTAAACTTAAAAAAAAAAAAAAAACCTCTTGAGTTCTAAGGTCTCATGTTTTTCAGTTTGGCTTCTAACTCACTATGTAGCTGACGGTGACCTTGAACTCCCTACTCTCCTGCCTCTACCTCCCCAGTGGCTGGATTACAAATATGTGCCTCTACCACTGTTAAAATTCAGGCAGGACACGAGGCATCTGACCGTCTTCAATTGGGGTAAAATCAGTGTACCATTACATTTATCTTCTCAAAGGGCGAAGTCAAATGGCTTTGTATATTTCTTATGTATCTACCACCACGGTCTAACTCCAAAATACTTCCATAGCCCCCTAAAGGCAAAGTTGCTTCCTGGTCTCTCCCTTTCCTTAGATCCCAGTTCCCACCACAGGGTTTTCTGCCTTTATGGGGTTCCCTGCTCTGCACACTTCATATAAATGACCCCAGGCAACCACATGTGTCCTAAATAACAAACAAACAAAAGCAACCAGCACCACCAACAGCTTTTCTAGAACTGCATCATAGTTTCACAACACTGTTCAAGGCCTTCTGGCCAGAGGTGGAAGGCCACATGCTCATTGTGTGAGTCTGTTTAAATTATCCAGAGTCACACGCGCCTTGGGTAAGTCAGGAGGAAGCTGGGCAAGCATCTCTGCAGGAGGAGATGGAACGGGACAACTGGAACACGAGCACCTTAGAAACATTTTCTCCCTTCCTGGTTATCTCCCCCTTCCCTGCCCAGTCCTACCCTGCTTAAGTGTGTCTGTGTGAGAATGTGCTAGGGTTTTGAACTCGGTACCTGGGGTGTGGCAAGGATGTGTTTTATCATTAAGCTACACTCAGCTCTCTTTTCACTTTCTTCAAGAATATTTAGCTAATTATATTTCTTTATCATGTGGTGGGTGTGAGAGAGAAGGGGGAGGGAAAGGGAGAGGGACACAGAGAGAGAGAGTAATAAAGCACTCATGCCACATCATGAATGTGGAGGTCAGAGGGCAACCGTCAAGAGTCACTTTTCTTCCTTCTATGATGCGAGGCCCAAAGATGACCTCAGGTGGTCATCCCAGTGACAAGAATCTTTATCTACTGAGCCCTCTCACCAGCCCTCTTTTCAGTCTTTTAAGGCCAAAATATTTCCATTTTTTGTTGGTTTATTTTTATTTATTGTTGAGAGGAAGGTTTGCTTTGTTGCAAAGGCTGGCTCTGACCTCCTGGGCTGATGATCTTCCCTTCGGCCTCCCTAGCTGCCTCCCACCACAGGAGCACACTGCTGCACCAGATAAAAGCATTTACTCTCAGAGGACGCCGATTTATGCGTCATTTCTCTCTTGTTTGACACTGAACTGAGAATCTATTGCCTAAAAGATAAAACCGTGAAGATCTACTTTCTTTTTTCTTTCCTCTTGGTTTGGTATGCCTTTTGGTCTTTGTTTTCGTCCTGTTTTTGTTGCTGTGAAAACACACCATGACCATGGAAGCCGACAAGGAAGGCTCACAGTTTAGGCTCACAGTTTCAGAGTGAGAGCCCATCTCGGAGGAGGACGCATGGCAGCGAGGCCAGAGCAGAAAACCCAGAGGTCACATCTTCCACAGAAATCAGGAAGCAGAGAGAGCCATCTGGAAGTGGGGAAAGGCCATGAGCTCTCTGAGTGATGGGCTTCCTCCAGTAAGGCTGTACCGTCTCCCCAAACCACGCCACTAACTGGTGACCAAACATTCAAATGCGCATGTGTGTGTGTGTGTGGGGGGGGGGACATTCTCATTTAAACAGCTACAGCCTTAGAGTCTGTGTGAGTTGGTTTTTGCACATGGTGTGAAGTAGGGGGTCCAACTTTATCTTTTCCTGCGTGGGTAGTTAATTGTCCTGTGGTCGTGGTCATTTGCTGGCAAACCAAAACAACAAAACCTGTGTCCTGTGTAACTGTCTTACCAAGGTTATGAAAAATCTCTTGCTGCCAGATGAGAGGTTTCTGGAGGCCCTATTTCAGTGTGTAAATTTATCCAGCTATCTCTGTGTGTTCATAAGCTTTCAGTAACTCTTAGTTCACAGCTGCAGTGGGCTTGTAACAATAACCATTTTGAGACCTTTCTTAAAACTTGGGCATCCAATCATAGTTCACCTGCTCTGTTATTTAGAACTTCTTCCACTTTTTTTTTTCTTTCTTTCTGAGATGCAACTGACAGTTCCTGACTTGAGTTTACTACCAAAGCTTTTTTTTAAAAAAAAAAAAAATGGGGTCAGGTGGCTGGCTGGGAAGTCACCTTGGTCTGAAGATGGAGGCTCACACTGCTCCCCGCTGGGGAGTGAGGCTCCAGCTCTCTTCCCAGACTCCAGCCGTAAGTAGCATCGGACTATCCAGCCCGCCTACCAATAAAGCGGAGGATGCCCTCGAACCCCGGATCCCTGCTCTCCATCTCCTAAATGCTGGGCTCTCAGGTGTGCCCTGCCGCGCCCTGTCTGTGCAGCGCAGAGGATGAACCCAAAGTTCGGTGCGTGCGAAGCAAGCGCTCTACCAACTCGTCTGCATACTCAGACCCCGTGGGCTTAGATGAAACGCTGGCACAGCCGGTTTGGGCTGGTCCCTTCCCCCGGTGCCCCGCGAACTGCTCCGTTTCCCAGCCGATCTCTGGGGGTGGGGGTGGGGGTGGGGCGGGGTGGGAACCGGCAGACTTTGCTTGGGCTGAATGGCGGGTTTGGAAGGCGCAGGCTGCACTGGGGAGGCGCGTCCCCAGCGGCGCCGAAGGCGCAGGTGGCTCTGGGCGGGGCGGCGCGCGGCCGTGCCCGGGGAGGAGATGCCGCACCCTACCTGAACTCCCGGGGCCGCCTCCCACCCGCGAGCCACTCGGCGACGCGGAGCGGGCGGGCCCGGCGGACCCCGCGGGAAGGGTGAGGGGCGCGCGGTGGGGGCCGTCCCCGCCGCTTTCCGGGTGGCCGCAGCCATGCCAGGACTGTGGAGAGCAATTGCCCTGGAGACCCTTCTGGGTAAGTCGAGGCTGTCCTGGCATACGCTGGCTGGGCTTGTTCCCCGCGGGGGTGGCAGAGCCCGGGGCCGGGAGTCGAGATGCTTCTGGCGCCCTGGGTGGAAGGGGAGGAGACGACCCAGATGGAGGTTTCCTGGCCGCGGTCCTGCAGCTCCTGGGGTCCTGGCCTTGCAGCTCCCTCCGTCTGCGCTGATCTCCTGCAGTCCCGGACCGTGACCTTCAGGTCTACCTCCATACAGTTTAGCACTGGGCTAAGCTTTCCCGAGGAAAGGGCGCCTGTGTAGCCCAGGGGCTGCGGGTGAGCGCCCAGGGTGACTGTCTTTGGCCCTGGCTCCCTGGTCTCGGTAGCTGCGAGTATGCTAGTGTGTTTGTCAAAGCTCGTCTGCTGTTCGTCTCCTGGGCCCGTTTAGCAGTGGAGGATTTAGTATTCTGATTCTGCGGGAGCGGCAGACTTAAACTCTTGAGCCCTCCTGGAAACTTTGGGAAATGGTTAGGTCTTGGGGGTCATTGCGCTGCCTTTTGAAGCAAGCATCCTTTTGGCCTGTGGAGGGCGCTCTCCCCAGAACGCGAGTTTCTGGGGAGCAGTCTCGGGAGAGACTGAAACTCTTTTTATTATTTATTTATTTTTCCCGTTCCCTCCGTACCTTGTAAATTGGGAGGTGTGAAATGACTCACACGGAGTTCCTCCTGGAGGCTTGGCCTCATCCTGAGAGCTGTGACTCCTGAAGATGAAATAACCTGAGCCCTGAGAAGGGCCCTGGGAGAAGTTAAGTGTGCTGCTGGGGATCTAAGCTCCCTGTGACATTTACTACTCCCACAAGCCAGAGAACCGCTGACTTTTCCGGTTCTCGGGGGTTTGTGTTGTTTTGCCCCAGTTGTTTCAGCTTTGGTATGGGGGGCGTAGACGTTCACCTCACAGGACGCGCGGTGTCTGAAGGATCAGATATCTGGTTAAAACCCATAGCCTTAATTATCATTGTCTAAAAATCACACAGCCTGTGCCCATGGAGGTGCCTCTGATTTCAGATCTGTTTCACTTTCCAGCCCTGCCCAGTAAGAGCCGGTTTGAGATGGTCTGCTCACAAGAAAAAAGCCCGTTGCTTAACTAAAGGGCTTGGGGCTGTAAGTTGGGGTAGGTGGCTGCGTTTTATGTGTTTGCTCATTGCATATGTATGGGCCAAATCAGGTGAGAGCATTTTATTAGTCAGAATCCTGACAGGAAGCCAGTTTCATCTCGTATGGTCTAGCCTATGACATCTTACTAAAGAGATTAGTAACAGAGGTGGTTGCGTGGCTACACATTTATAGGGACAAACAAGAGATGGGGATGAACTCACGACAGCCATTCTCCACCGTGCCTGCACCAGGCTGAAGCCAGAGGCAGGAAATTCAGAGCCGAGTGGAGTGGCAGGCTGTTAGGAACAGTGTTGGAATCACTGTCTCTCTCAAACGTTTTCCATAGGCTACGTCTCTTGGTCTCTCTACCACGGACTGGGACCCATGATCTATTACTTTCCCCTGCAAACGCTGGAACTCACCGGCCTGGAATTGTTTGGCGTAGCCTTTCTCTCTCCAATACTCTTAACAATTCCTCCATTCTGGAAACTCGTTCAGAGGAAATGGACCCTTTCTCTGCTGCGGATCATCACTGTCGGTAAGGCCTCAAGAGTCTGAGATGCATCTGTTCGTCAAAAGCAAAATGGTGTGGACTGATCATTGCATGAGGAACGGTTAATTCTCAAAAATCACGTTTCTTTTCCTTACTATTGCCTCATGGAAAAAAAAATAGTGAAATTGGAAAACTATACTGAGTCAATGCATTTCTTTTTCTTAACATCTCTTTCCTGGAGAAATCTAAAATTTACTGGAATAAGAAGGGAAAATGTGCCTTGGAGAACAGGCCAACTATGACAAGGCTTAGGAAGAGGGCTCAGTGGTACTGCACAAGAAAAACATTATAGCGGGTGGACAGACAGCAGGTGAAAATGATTTGAAATGCTGTTACTCAGCTGCCAAATCCCACACAGTTTCAATAAACCGATAATAAAAGACCAAAACCACACCAGAAACCCAGAGGAAGATGTGTGCAGTCCCCGAAAAGGATATTCAATCAGTTCTTTAAAATACAATAAAATCAGGCCACCAACATAACCCAGTAGGTGAGGACATTTGCCACCAAGCCTGACAACCTGAATTCTATCTGGTTTCCAGTCGGTAGAAAGAGAACCAACGCCCGCAAGTCGCCTTTTCACCTCTGCACAAGGCATTCACTTGTGTGAGCAGCTAGGCAATCACACAGTCACATGTACACACACACACACCCCCACACACACACACTCACACACACACTCACACATTTTTAGCCTCAAAAATGGATTGGCAGAAAAAAAAAAAAACCACAACATTGTACTGAAAGGCCAATTTAGCAGCATTTACCTAAACTGCAATCTATTCAGAGCCTTTTCCTCAGCAACCCCACAAGGACCTACAGACTCACCCATAACTACACGCTATGTTGAACACATGGATCATGCAGGGCTGTCATCTTTAAGTAATAGATGATTATGAAACTTGGAATATCATGCAGCTACAGAAAGGGAGTCTTGGTGTGTTTTGTTTGTTTTGTTTTCCAAGACAGGGTTTCTCTTTCTAGTTTTGGCTGTTCTGGACTCTCTTTGTAGACTAGGCTGGCCTCAAACTCAAAAGAGAGTATTATTAATAGATTTAAAAAAGTGAGCTTGAAACTGCTTGGAGCTGTGGCGGAAGGTCGGGACTTCTCAGCCTCCTGCCGCAGCCCCGGTGGGCCTCTCTGAGCCTTTCTTGTTTGTTGGATTTGTTGGTGAGCTGCGCCGGGCAGACCCATCTGGAAACTTCCCTTTGCAAACGTGGTGTCCATCAGAAGTGGTCAGCTACAGGTGAGGGTACATGCCCGGTACTGACCTCAGTGACTGCTTGATTGGAACCTCAGCAGGCTAATGCTTTCTGTGTATGAGTTGGGCGGCCTTGGCCGTGCAAGACTTGGTTTCTTACTGCATTCCAAGCTGGCTTTATGACACAGTTTTCTCTGTGGCACTATGCATGGTACAGTAAGTCTAGGTAGAGTCTTTGAATAGCCTTTCTTACTGCTGTATCAAAATACCTAGCCAAAGCAGCCCAAGGGAAGCAAAGCTTGTTTTGGCTCTCGGTGTGGGGATACAATCCAACCCATCATCACGAGGAAGCTGAGACAGCTGGTCACATGAAGGTGAGTCTTTCCAGCACAATTAAGCCACCCTAGAAACTCCCTCACAGGCGTGCTCTGGAGTTTGTCTCTTAGCTGATGGTAGAGCCCGTGGTTGACGATACTGCTTATCCCGGAGCTAGGAATGACTCTTCCTGTGTTGCTTCCCCTAACCACCTTCCTTCATGAGAGTGGAAGAGCTATAGAAGTGGGTAGGCAGTGGGCTGGAGAGATGGCTTAGCGGTTAAGAGCACTGGCTGCCCTTCCCGAGGACCCGAGTTCAATTCCCAGCACCCACAGGGCAGCTTACAACTGTCCATAACTCCAGTTCCAGAGGATCTGGCACCCTTACACAGACATGCAGGCGAAACACTGAGTACATAAAAATACATGAATCTTAAAAAGAAAAAGAAAAGAAATGGATAGTCACCTAGAGTTGGGGATGGAGGAGAAAGCGGCCATTTCTGCCAAGTGCTGCCCCTGGTGACTGCTGGGGACAGCTGATGCTCTCCAGAGGTTGTGCTGGGCCGTGAGTTCCTTTGAAACACCCCTGCATTCACCCCCTGACTGTTATAAGCACACTTACCTCAGATACCTTAGGTACTTAATCACCATGAAATTAACTATGAAACTAACCTTATACTCATTGACCTAGATTATTTTTGACTCATTCAGATGACTTAAAAAAGATGGAGAATACCAAGTGCTGGCAAAAATGTGGAGCAATAGAGTTTCCATGTATTCTTAACGGAAATGCAAGAAGTGTGAAGTGGCATAGCTGCTTGGGAAAACTGTTGGCAGAGCCTTATCCAAGGCTTATCAAGCACCTCATCATATAGTCTGGAAAAATGCAAGCATATGCTCATACAGAAACTTGTGAACACACGTTCATAGCAGCGTTATTCATGAAAGTCCAGACATAAACTGGGTGCAGTGGCATATGCCTTTAATCACATGCTCATGGAGGCAGAGGCAGGTGGATTGCTGTGAGTTCGAGGCCAGCCTTGTCTACGAAGCTTGTCCAGGACAGCCAAAACTACAAAGAGAAACCCTGTCTCAAAAAAACAAAACAAAAACAAAACAGAAACACCAAACCAACTAAACAAAAAAACCCCAAAACAAAACCCCCAAGAGAGAAAGTCTAGACACAGAAGCAACCAAGGGCCTATCAACTGACAAAAGGATAAACAAAGTACAGCTTATTTATGCCATGGAACATTATTTAGTCATAAAGGAGTGAAGGACCAATCTAGGGGATAATATGGATATGCCTTGAAAGCATTGCTCTGGGGGAAAGAAGCCAACCACAAATGGACACATTCTGCTTGTGTGACACTTCCCAGCTAGGAAAGGTCCCTGGAGACCAAAAGGTTAGTGCTTGCTAAAGGTGTGTGTGTGTGAAGAGTGATGCTAAGGAGAAGGGAAATTCTTTTGGGGGCGGGGAGAATGTTCTAAAATTAGTTCTGATAGCTGGCAACTCTGTGAACGAGCCAAAAACCTACCAAGCTGTCTACTTTAACACGGGGAACCTCATGTGAGAATCCTGCCCACATGAACGTGGAGTAAGGATGTGCACAGGTACACGTTCATTCTATCTTCCTCAGGGGAAAAGCCACACCAGACACGAAGCTTATCAAATGCAGACTGTCAGGGGCCGGGGCACGCTCTCCAGCTCATCTCTCCTTCCTTCTCTGTAGGCAGCATAGCGTCCTTTGAGGCTCCGGATGCCAAGCTCCGGCTGGTGGTCCTTGCCCTTGGTGTGTCTTCCTCACTGATAGTGCAAGCTGTGACCTGGTGGTCAGGAAGCGGATTGCAAAGGTATGACTCATGTCTTACGTACCTATGGACAAACGGGTATGACCAGTTCCCAGAGAGACATTCTGACCATTGGTTTCAATGCAGTTTTTCCTCTCACTGGCCTTTGTAAACGTCCCCTGTCCTTTGCCAAATGCAAATGCCATCAACTTCATTTTTTCTTAATACTATGGACTGAACCCAGGAATTGTGCATACTCAGTATTCTCCCACTCTTTTGCTTTACTTCCAGTGCCAGTGAACTTTAAACATTAAAAATTAGATTTATTTCCTTTTAATTTCCCATGTGGGTCGAAGGGACTCAAACTCGGGAAGCCAGGTGTGGCAGCAAGTGCCTTAACCTTCGAAGGCGTCTCACTGGTCCCACAGGCAACATAAATTAGACTTGATGAGGTTTTTTTTGAGAGGGATAGGGGACACCAGGGAGGGAGGATAGACCGGGGAAGAATGGAAAGTGAATGCGATGGGGTGCATTGCATAAAATTCCCAAATGATTAATAAAGATATTTTGCTGGGGAGAAATTATTATAAGTTGCCTAGATACTGGACCATAAAGTTGAGGGCATCCCCGAAGATCACCCGCAGCACAACCGCAGACCCACATTCTGTGAAACCCATCTGCAGTGGATGCAGGACGTTGAATTCACACTTCAGAAGGTCTTTAATAAACTTTTCATCCCAGGTACCTCAAACTCTGGGGGTTTATTTTGGGACACATTCTTCTCCTTGTCCTCCGCATATGGTACACCTCGTTAAACCCGATTTGGAGTTCTCGGACGTGTAATCGAGTGGTCTTGACACTGAGTGCCATAGCTGTGTGTGACCGCATTGGCGCAGGTAAGGGTACACTCAGCTTATCCAGGGATCTTCTCTCTTCTGACCCTTCAAAAAGGAAGGGTGCTGGGAATCAAACCAGGACCTCATGCACGCTGGGCAAGCACTCTGCCAACTAAGCTTAACCTAGCCCCAAGCCGCACAGTACATTTCAACGTTGCCTCCTGGTGAACAGTAGCAGACACAGGTGATGGGCTGTCGTGTAGGCAGAAGGCCCCGGTTTCCTGCTAGGCAAGGAAGGAAACTATGGTGAGATACACCCATGGGGGAACTCAAGCAGATGCCGTGCTTTCAACTCAGCTCACCTCTGTCTTCTGCTCATTTTGCTGCTCAGGGCGGGAGTCTCCATTTTCTATATCCACCTGCTCTGTGCCCTTAAGATTTCCTGATCCCAGACCCTTTGGGTTTCTGAACACAGGAGGTGTTCTTTGACCTTCTATTTGAAGGTGTTTTGGGTCTCAGGGGCTGGAGGTTAGACTTCATTTTAGTCCATAAATAGAGCTTAGATGGCCCCTCTCTCTGGACCCTCCCCTCCATCCTCAGATCTTTGACCTCTCTCTGTCCTCACCACCCACTCCCGCCCCTTCCCCTCCCCGTAGCCCTCAGCCCACTCCTTCATCTGACCTTGCTCTTGTCATAATAACTTCCTTTTTCTCAGCAAAATCAGGCCACCAGTCCCACAGGCGGACCTCAGGGCTGCCTTCTCTCCCTGAGAAGCCTTCATGGAATTGCAAAGCGGCTCTCCAGCAGGCCTTGTGAGGGTACAAAGCAATTCTCCCACCAACATTTCCTCCCATGGCCCCAATTTAGTGTGTGAAGTTGTGGCTTTGATGGCAGTCTCTATTTAAACAGCGTCGGCAGGACTCTTAGTTAAGGAGGCACACTGCCTTAGTGTCGATGTCAGTGTCTCTTGGTTGACAGTGCGATCATGGACCAGTTAATTGACCTCTCCGCGCTTGCCTTCTAACCCGTAAAATGGGATTAATAACAGGGCAGACCTCATGAATCAGGAAAGGCGCAGCGGGCCGTGCTCAGGAATAGGGGCTCACACAGCCGAGGCTCAAGGAGATCCCGTTCTTTCACGAGAAAGCAGCTTTTCGAGCTAGGATGCTGCGCTCAAGTTGGATCTCTCTTGCTCCCTCGAGAAAACATTTTCCTTTTCCTGCCCAAATCGCTCTCACTCTGTTAACCCTGACGGTCAATTTCCTGGCTTCCTTCAGCTTTGCTTGCTTCCCCTACACCACTCCGTGGCTGGGCAAGAATGATCTCTCCCATCGAATAGCTCAGGCAATACTCTCTCCCGCAGTAGGCTTCTTGAAGTCATGGGCCTCTTCCAACCTGTGCCCTTCTTCTTCTTCCCCTCTCCTTTCTGTATAAAAAATTCTAGACGGAGACTACAGCACTCCTGAGGGGAAGAAGCCCAGCGAGGTGGCCAAGGGCATGGCGTCTCGCTGTAGCTGGCTGTTGCCGGGAGCCGCCTTCGGGAGCCTCATGTTCCTCACCCACTGGATCTTTGGAGAGGTCTCGGTTGTTTCGAGATGGGCAGTGAGTGGCCGTCCCCACCCAGGGCCGGATCCGATCCCTTTCGGGTGAGTTCGGCTCCATTCGCTGTGGGGACGAGCCAGAAGGGCGTCTGCTCCGGGCTGGAGGCTTGCGGGAAAGCCGAGGGGAACAGAGGGCTGGATCAGGCCCCACGTCCCCACGTTCCCACGCAAGGGAAGAACGAGGAATTCCTTGCCCGGGGCAGGGGAGGTGTGGCGTCTGCTGGCTTGCTCTTCAGCCCCTCCCGAGCTAGCAGCGGGTGTTTGTTAGACAGATCACAGTGTCACTAGGAGCCGGGCGACTCTTTCCCACGTTCTCTCCTGCAGATGGGCAGGAACGTATTGTTATCCTCAAACGCTTAAAAGGATTACAGGAATAATAACCCAGGTGCCTGTCCTAAATCGGCACCTGCCGCGTAAGTGCTGCGTTAAGTGCTGAATTTGAAAAGAGATTTCAACTACTTATGTTGTAGCTCCCATTGCTACTGGCTTTCCCCTGAAGTTTACTTCAATTGTTTGTTTTTTTAAATGTATATGAATGTTTTTTCCCTACATGCTTATCTGTGCAACGCTGGTGGAGGCCGGAAGAGGTTGTCTGAGTCTTTGGATGGACATGCTGGGAACCAAACCCAGGTTCTCTGCAAGAATGACAAGTGTTCTAAGCTGCCTGCACCTCTCTCCAGCCCACCTTAAATTCTCTTCCTGTTAAGTTTTCTGTTTTGTTTTGTTTTTTTTAAATAACAAAACAATGAAATAGTTTGTGGTAGTTAAAAATAAGTAAAGCTGTCAAGCCTCATTGTCCTATTTTGCTTTGTATCGTTTCTGGCACTGGGTATTGACTCTAGAGTCTAACGCATGCTGGACAAGAACCTCTCACCCAGAGGCACCATCAGCCATCGAGTGCTCTGCACACCGTCCCCGACGGCTCTCATTACCCCCATTGTTTCACATCCACGATGTGATATGAATGGATGTAGCTAGAGAGAGTAGACAGATTTTTTGACCTATGCTTGAATGATTGATTTATTTTGCTTTTTATTTCCAATTACTTACAGAGGTGTGGTTCTGCTGGGCTTGTCAAGTGGACTGATGCTTTCGGGCTCCTCATGGCTCCGTGAGGCTGGGTTAGCCTGGTGGATGACAGGTATGTGGAACTGACCTGCAGATGCATTGGCAATGCCCCAAACAGTGGCGTGGGTGCTAGAATATCTTGAAGGATGTTAACAAAAATGCACATACTGTCGCTGGGTAGTAGTGGCACACGCCTTTAATCCCAGCACTCGGGAGGCAGAGGCAGGTGGATCTCTATGAGTCTGAGGCCAGCCTGGTCTACAGAGTGAGTTCCAGGACATCCAAAAGCTATACAGAGAAACCCTGCCTCAAAAAAATCAACATACATACATATATATGTGTGTGTTTATATGTATGTCTGTATATATGTATGCATGTATATATATGTGTGTTTGTGTATGTATGTCTGTATATATGTATACATGTATATATGTATGCATGTATATATATATTCTATTTAAGGCTCAATATGGATGGATCAAAATTGATTCACAGGAATTGAAAGAAAAGTTGCATGACCTCAGTGTTGGCTCAGCATTGGTTAAGTAACTGCCTGCTACGGACCACGTAGAATGCACAGTCCTGGCCTGGCAGGCTCTGGAAAACCAGTGGTCAGAGTGTAGACTTGCTCCAGCAGCGAATCTGTGTCTGGAATCTTAATGATGTCCTCTCTTGGGTCCAACTTTTGGAGAAACCAGAGTATATATTTCTGGATAGTGCTTAAATGGGCAACAATTACTTAGAAAGTGCCTTAGCAAGAATGTTCTAGAAACCGCTCAGACCCTGTGTTTTCGGCTGTCTTGCATCTAGATGGTAGTATTTAATGAACATAGCTCGAATTTTGCAAATAATTTCAGTTTCTATTACCATGAAGACTGTAAGGCTGGCAACGGCAACGCCCACTCCCACCCCTTCCCAAAGAACAAGCATTGGTCTGAGCTTTGCTGGGCTCTTCTGCTTCTGTGGCGAGCCAGGGCCAGGCTGTGACTTTGAGAAGACCACAATAAACTCCTGTACCTTGGTTTGCTTGGGAGTTGAGATTCAACCAGTGGCCTCCTGTGGTCCTTTCGGGCCATTACCTGCCATATACTGGTCATGCCGTGAGCTTTGCTCGTCTCTTGCCTGACTCATCCTCTCTCTCTCTCTTTCTTACAATCAGGAGCAGCTTCCGCCGTGGGGCTCCTTTACCTGCGCACGTGGGCAGCAGCTGTTTCCGGATGTGTACTGGCAGTCTTCACAGGGTCCATGTGGCCTCATGTACTTGGGCACCTCGTGATCTCAGGGAAAAGCCCTGGGGAAACCATGGCCACGGGCACAGGCCTTTATCTCTTAGAAATATTTTTCTGTGCCTGGTGCACAGCTTTTAAGTTTGTTCCCGGAGGTGTCTATGCTAGAGAAAGATCGGATGTGCTTTTGGGTGAGTACCTGTTAACAGATACAGTTAAAGAAACTGACCCAAAGTCTCTAAGCCTCGCCAGGACTCAGCATCTTCTATGACAGCCGGAAACAGTAGGACAGCCCATGTTCTTGGTAAGAGAGACTTTAGGTGAAGAAAACCCAGAAGGATGTTGAATTGTAATGGAATTTTTTTCTGTCATTTGTTGCTCAAATTAAGTGCACTTCTTCAATATTTATTCTTCAGCTGGCTTTTAAAATGAGTTGGTTTGCCAGCCATGGGGGTGCATGCCTTTAATCCCACCCTTTTGGATGCAGAGACAGGTGGATCTCTGTGAGCTCTAGGCGAGCTTAGTCAATATACCAAGTTCCAGTTTGGCTAGGGCTACATAGTAAGACTGTGCCTCAAACAAACAAGCAAATAAAATGAAAAAATTGAGAAAAAAGATGTCCAAACCATGGTAAAGCCTGTGTAAACTTTAGTGTTATAAACTCACCAAAATCAAATGTTCATAAGCTTATTTCACATTAATATTTCAAAAGTTTTTTTCTGGAAAAAAAAGGTAATTATTCATTTATAGCAGATGTACAGAGAACCAACACTGTCAATCTCTCTCTTCTTTCTTTCTTTCTTTTTTTCTTGTGACAGGGTCTTACTGTGTACTTAGACTGGCCTGGAACTCACTCTGTTGATCAGGTTACCCTTGAACTCATGCAAATTGTTCTGCCTCAGCCTCCAAAGTGCTGGGATTACAGGTGTGAGCCATTAGAGCTGGCTACCACTTTGATTTGGAAGTAGAGCGTGTCAAGATCTTCCACAGAAAAACCCTAGAAAACGGGGCGGCATCGGTGCTGTGAGGGAGTCAGATCTGGCTTGTCCATGCTTTCAGTTTTATACTAGTCCACTTATTCTAATACAGCTATTGTGCGTGCAGCTGTGCTCCTGGCACAGTCCCAGGTGCTGGAGATGAAAAGCACCCGGTGTTCCTCCCACCCAAGGTCTGTGCTGGAATGGGGGACAGGACCACACGTGGGTAAAACCAATCCTTAGGATATTTCCGGGGGTTGAGCAGCTGACGGGAAAGGTGTGGCTTCCACCCACACTGTACCACAGTTCTCCCAGCCCTGCGTCTCTCTTCCATGAGCTAGACATCTGCCAGGACAGGCTGCTCGGGAGGACACAGGATCTTTGAGGGAGAGCCTTTGGGAATTCCCTATTTCCCTAGTCTTGGCTGGAGCTCTCCCCTGCTTAGAGGAACATCATATAGCCATGACCCCAACGCCTGTCTCACCTTTACAGTACCCACCCAACTTGACAGTATCTCTCATTATTAAGACAAACAAGCAACCCACACCAAAAAGCACAGAGTCTGATTCGTGCAGGCCCACTATTCTGAGCACTCGACTTGCTCTGGAGTGCGGGTAATATACCCAACATCACTCTATTGAGGAAAACTGACGTTTCCCTCTCCTGTTAAATGTGAGTTACAAATAGCTTCTTGGTTAGAGGTGGGACTTTATGCCCAATTTCTGGCATTTTCTCTGCAGGTGCCTGGCTTTGCAAACTTCGTAATTCTTGTGGTTTCTTTCAGGTGGCTCTGCTCTGTCGGGCTCTGCTCTCTCCAGTGTCCTGCTCTTTCTCTTGCTCAGCTTGCTCAGGCTGCTGCCAGGTGGAGCACGGGAGTGAAAGTAAGAGCTGTGCTATTCCCAACTTTGTTTCTTTGGAGCTCTGCGAATGACGGGCTTTTCCTAGTTTGTTCTCTTTACTCACGGTGCCGTGAAAACGTGCTTTATTTCAGCTTCACACAAATGAGAGACTTCTTGTGACATAGTAACAAGGCGAGGAAAATTGGTGGCGTTGAGTCGCTTTCTACAAAATCTCTATTTGTTCTCTGAGAATTTCGTACAGTGTATTTTGATTATATTCTTTCCCCTTTCCCAACTTCTCCAAGATTTTCCCCGACCTCTCTAGTTACCAAATCCGCAAATCCGTAAATATCTCTATTAACACAAACAAATAATAGTAAAGAAGACAAATGAAGAGTGCACAAAAATGCATGGAGTCTGACTTCCGTTGGCCAACCGCTACTAAGCGCGCAGCTTGCCTTGGAGTGTGGTTGAAATACCCACTGAGAAAAACTGATTTTCCCTCTCCCAGCAGCTATCAATTGCAATAGCTTCTTGGTTAGGGGAAGGACTTAGTGTCCACTTCCTTGTCTCTATGCTGGGATTTTGTCTGGTTTTAACCCGTGCAGATCTTACTCGTGCTTTCACAGTCTCTGTGAGTTCACATGTGTATTGAGTCTGAAAAGGGCTGTTTTCTTGGAGTCATCCTCTTACAATATTTCCGGCCCCTCTCCTGCATAGCTCCTGAGCCTTGAGGGGAGGACTGTGATAAAGGATATAACTTTTAGGGCTGAGCCCTATAAAGTCTCTCATTCTCTGTACATACGTTTCCAGGTATCGGTCTCTGTGTTAATCAAAATCTTCTGTAAGAAGAAGCTTCTATGTTGAAGGTGGAGTGAGGCACTGATCTGTCAGTGTATCAGTGAGTGACATAGCGGTAAATCACTAGGAATCACTTTATTGCTATGACCATTTAGCAGAACAGTAGAAGTAGGTTTTCCTCTAGGGTCCATGTCCTGTCTGGTTTCAGGGTCTTGGCCTCAGTGTCAGATATGGGTTTATCTTATTGGGTGGGCCTAAATTAAAAAAAAAAAGTGTTTGTTTACTCCGATAACACCCCTGCCACTGGTAAAGCAGAGGGCACATGTGCAGCGGGTTGTTGTGGTTCTCAGCTTCCAGATGAGTACCAGCTAGACTGCCCCGTTATCCTCTGCAAAAGTAGTAAGTGCTCTTCGCCACTAAACCGTCTCTTTAGCCCCAACCTCACCATTTTTAAAATAATTATTTCTTATGATACTGAGTATTGAAACTAGGGCCTCACGCATGCTAGTTAGGACCACTAAGTTAGGTCCCAATCCCTCTTTTTTCCCTCCCTCTCTTTTAACAGGGACCATAATGGTAATTATTGGGTTGAGTATGCTGTTTGGACCTAAGAAAAACCTTGACTTCATTCTTCAAACAAAACACAGCCCTAAAGGGCTTTTGAGAAGGAGTGAGAAATACATGAAACTTAGTAAGTATAGCTTTACTTGCTTTTTTAAAGTTTGGTATATAAATTTTATTATTATATTTTCCCTTCCTTCCTTCCTTCCTTCCTTCCTTCCTTCCTTCCTTCCTTCCTTCCTTCCTTCCTTCTTTCCTCCCTTCCTTCCTCCTCCCACCCCCGCCCCTTTTTTTGTGAGACAGGGTCTCTTTATGTAGCCCTGGCTCTACTGAAACTCACTATGTCGACCAGACTGACAATGAATGAACTCATGGAGATCTCATTGAATTCACGGAGATCCTCCTATCTCTGCCTCCCCAGTGCTTGGACCCAAGGTATGTGCCACCGTGCCTGGCTCATGTTGTATACATTTTCCAACGTGAAATGTAAGAGCACCATGAAGCCATATTTTCCTACTCATTGTCTTTGTTGTCTTCCTACCTTCTTCTTTTTCTTATTTTTTCCTTCTTCTTCTCCTCCTCCTTATTTTTCTTCTCTTTGTTTTTGATTTGTTGAAACATGTTTAAGCAAACCCCCAATATGGCATTTCAACCTTAAATACCCTATATGGTTTTATTTCACTTTTAGCATAGAAAAATTTAGCAGGTAGAATTTCCAAGATGCTTTCATCGGATAGTTGAGACTGTGTATTGCTTCTCTTCTTCTCAGGAAGATTAAACCTGTTAATATTAGTATCTTGATAAACTAATAGAGTCACACATCACATCAGTTTGTTACTTAATATCTGACTCATTTTTAAGTAAAACTGAATCACATACAAATGTGTGATTAGGTAACTGTTATGTAGGACACGAGGACATGTAAACACTGGTTTTTTACCCTTAAAAGTTTGAAACTTTACCAAAGGAGACAAAATATTATTGTGAAAAGAGATCTTCAAAATATTTCTGAGTGCTACGTCACAAGGACTCGCACCATTATATAAAACCCGTCATATATGTGTCATCATAGCGTGGGAAGATCATATTTAAATTGAGATTTTTTTTTTCTCAATGTGTTTGGCAGTCACAGCTTTACTGTGATACACCTGGAGGTGGAGTGTGTCCTGACCAGGCTTGGGAATCTTTGGGCTCTTCCATTCCAAAGATTATTGAGTTGCTTTAGTTCTGGGAAGTCCTTAGCATTATTTTTCTCATTCTCTTTTCTCCTTTCTTTTTGATGCCAGTTGTTTGTATCAAACCTTCATCTGTTCCTTGTGTTTTTAAGTACTTTCACTTTTCATGACTCTGTTTTATTTTTTAAAGATTTGAGAATACATGTTTACTTATTTATTCAGTAATGGGGGACAGGGCATGTGTATGCAGGTCAGAGGACAACTTAGGATAGTCTGTTCCCTCATTCCACCATGTAGGTGCCGGGGATTGAACTCATGTCTTCAGTCTTGGCAGCATGTGCCTTTATTCACTGAGCCATCTTGCTGACCCCTACCTCTGTGTTGCCTTTTGCCCTAATTCTCCTGTAAGCTTTGTCTAATATGGTCTAATAAGCCCAGCATTTTCTCACTTATACAATTATATATTCTTATTTCTACTTTTTAAAAATTTACTTTATTTTACGTGTGTGAGTGTTCACCAGCATATCTGTCTGGATGCCACGTGGATGCCTGGTGCCCATGGAGGCCAGAAAAGGCAGTCAGATCCTCTGGAACTAGAGTGATAGTTATAAGCTGCCACGTGGTCTGAATCAGACCTGGGTCCGGTACTCTTAACCACCAAGCCATCATTCTACTTCTGTTTTCTGACTTCTAAAAGTCTGCTTTATTTCCGTACACACTTCCCTGATTATTTTGTTCTTAGCCTTTGATTCCACAGTTCATTCTTTGGCATACCCTCTTCTTTTCAAATGCACTAAACATGTTCACTTTATATTCTGATTCTTAAATTTCTGACATCTAAGGTCTTTGTGTGTTTGGTTCTTCAGGACACCTTTCTCTGCTGTTTTGTGCCCATAAAAATATTTTTTTCTGTGTATCCTGTAATTTGTTTTTGCTTTATGTTCGTTGCTCTTGGGATGTTCTCAGGGAATGTTCTTTAAAAGTCCGATTTTAAAGTATGGGTTATGTATGTCCCACACAGACTCTTTGTTCAATAGATACAATTTTGAAAAGTTATTAAAAATTTTAGTTTCTTTTCAGTGATTCTTTTTTTTCTTTTCGTTTAGTTTTGTGGTTGCTTGTTGGTGTGGGGTTATTGGGATTAGGACTACGGCACAAAACCTATGAGAGGAAATTAGGCCAAGGGGTAAGTGATGAACATTTTTGAAATGAAGTTTTACTATATAAAGTAATATATATTATATATATAAAGTTTTACTATATATGTTTTAAACTTTTATTTGACAACATTTTGACACCTGACCCCTTTTCTCTATTTTTTATTTTCCATTTTGTTACATTTTTTCACTTAGCATATAAAGTAATAGCTTTCATTGTGAAATTTACATACGTACTTGCAGATAGTCACTCCAATTACTTATTTTTGTCTCCCCATCTTTTCTTTTGGATAACTTCTTCTCCCCACATGGTCCTCCCTTCTTTCATATTACATATATATGTACTATATGTATATATTTAGATTATATATTATATTGTATATATTTAGATTATGAATTTGAGGGAAAAAGTGATATTTATTTTTCTTAATCTAGCTTATTTCACTTATCATGATGATCTCTAGTTGCATCCATTTCTATGCAAATGACACAATTCCGCTTTTTTTTTTTTTTTTTGGTCTTCTCAGAATTTAAAAAGTTACTTAATTGATTTACTTTATATCTTGACTTTCGTTTCCTCTCCCTCCTCTCCTCCCAGTCCCCCCTCCATCCCTGCTACCCAAACTCCTCCTTAAAGGAGAGACCTCCCATGAATATCAGCCAGTTCTGGCATGTCAAGCTGTAGCAAGACTAGGCTCATCTTTTCCTAGTGAGGCTGGGAGGCAACTTTAGTTAGTTTGGCTAAGGCTTTTCTATCTTGTTGTTTTCTCAAAGAACCAACTCTTTGTTTCATTGATTGTCTATCTTGTTGATTTTTCTCTAAGAACCAATTCTTTGTTTCATTGGTTCTTTGTATTCTTCTCTTTGTTTCTATTTTATAATCAGCCCTCAGATTGATTATTTTCTGCCATCTACTCCTCTTGGTGTTTATGCTTCTTCTTTTTCTAGAGCTTTCAGGTGTGCTGTTAAGTTTATAGTATGAGAGCTTAATACTTTCTTTATGAAGGTGCTTAGTGCTGGGAAGTTTCCTCTTAGCACCGCTGTGTGCCCTGTAAGTTTGGGTGTATTGTGTATTCATTTTCATTGAATTCTAGAAAGTCTTTAATTTCTTTCTTTATTTCTTCCTTGATACAGTGGTCATTGGGTAGAGACTTTTTTAGTTTCCACTAGTATGTAGGCTGTTAGTCGTTTCTGTTGTTGTTGAAGTCCAGCTTTAATCCATGGTGATAAGATGTAGGGGGTTATTTCACTTTGTTGTATCTATTGAGACTTGCTTTGTGAGTGAGTATTTGGTTAATTTTGAGGAAGGTTCTGTGACATGCTGAGAAGAAGATAGCTCCACTCTCCTTCATGGCTCAATAAAACGCCATTGTGTGTTTGTGCTACATTTTCTTTACTCGTTAATCTATTGATGGGCGTCTTGGTTAGTTACAAGTATTGGCTGTTGTGAATACTGCAGCAAGTAACCTGGATAGATGTTCCAATATCTCTGTAGTATTTTAACTTGGACCCTTGTAGGTTAAGAACACCCAGGAGTGGTGCAGGCTGATTATATGGTACTTGTGGTTTAGTTGTTGTTGTTGTAGATGTATTTACGTTTAGTTTGTGTATGTGTTTTGCCTGCATGTATGTCTGTACACCATGGGTGTGCTTGGCGTCCACAGAGGTCATAAGAGGGCATCAGATTGAACTGGGGTTACAGATGGTTGTGAGCCTATACGTGGGTGCTGGGAATCAAACCCAGGTCCTATGTAAGAACAGTAACTGTTCTTAACCCCTGAGCCATCACCGCAGCCCTGTCGTTTTAGTGTTTTGGGGCACCTCTATACTGACCTCCACTGTGGCTGCACCACTTCACATTCCAATGAACAGTGCCTAAAGTTTGCTCAATCTCCACATTTGTTGTCATTTGTTTTTTGGACAGTGGTCACTCTCACAATAGAGCTTTAATTTGCATTTTCCTGATGGTTGAGGATTATTAATGTTTTTTCCTTATATTTATTAGCCATTTATATTTATTCCTTTGAAGAGAATGATTTGTTTGCTTCATTAACCATTTTATTACTGGGACAATTTGGCTACTGGATGTTTTAATATTTTCTGGTTTTTTATGTATTATAGATACTAATCCTGTGTCAGATGAATCTCCAACAAAGATTCTTATCATGTAGGCTGTACCTTCATTCTACTCTTTCTGTTGCTATTTGTATATCATTACCTTGATGTAATGCTAGACCTTACTGTACTGACTTTAAGACCCTGGGTCCCATCTCTTTTACTCATAGGATGACCATAGAATGGAATGATTTAGGAAGTAATAACAGCAACTTGCTTGTGCTTTTGACATGTAGGGTTATTTTTCCACTCATGATTTAATATATAATTATAAAAGAAGAGAGTATTTTATATTTGTCAGAGATTGCTGAAGGTGTGACTATGAGAATCTTCGAGTCAAGAAAAGTCTGAGAAACAAATCTTGGTTTTGTAATTTATCTCTATTTTATATATTGCACAATGTGGACGTTTTGTTGTCCTTTGCTTTTTGTAATTTTAAATGTTTCGATGTTGCCTCTCTCTTCTGGAAAGAGGCAGAAGCAAGAATAAGTCATTGCAATACTATGTTTTCCATCTGTTCTGGTAAAAAGATTATTGTATTACATAGTGAAGTCAGAGTTACAGTTTGAGATAAAATAAAATGTGAGAGCTATTGCTGAATTTTAGTAATCTGTACTACCAGGAAAAATGTTTTCATATTGAAGAAAAAGCTTTACTAAGGAAGAAGACTGGTTCCATGTTTCTCTGGGTCTCCTCTCTCTTCCTGCTTTTCTCCCTCAAGCAGTGCTCAGGACCAAATGCAGGCCTCACTCAGTAACTGTTTCTTATCGAGTAGATAGTAATAAGCCATCACTACAGGCCCTTTTGGATGCTTTTTCCATGTTAGTTATTATTGTTACAATATGCTTTCTGAATGAAGAGAATGCCCACTGACAGCCAGAAACTCTTTTTAAAGGGTTGTTTGAATTTGGTCTATTGCTTGTTTATTCATTCACTTACTCTTTGGCAAGAGTTCACTGACTGCCTCTCGCTATGCCTGGTGCCAGAGGTACCCAGGAGAAGCTGGACAAGCTCTCTGCTCTCCCACACTTTGCATCCTAGTGGATAAAGATGGTAATCATCTTTATCAGATGAAGGAAGACTCTGGCTGCAGGCCACGTGGCTTTTCAGGAAGCCAGATTGTGACGTGGTAAGCTAGAATCTGGATGGTTAGGGAAGGCTTCTCTGACATTTGAAATGAGACTTGAAAGCCGCTTTTTTTAGAAAGCCGATCATTTAGCTGTGATTGGGCCAGGAACTGTGTAGAAAAGATAGAGAGAGAGCTAGCTTAGGGTGTTGGAAGTGTAGCTCAGTGACCTGCACGGCTGAGGTCTTATAGAGAGATGCAGGTGGAGAAGCTGGGAAGGGCCTCGCACCTGGGGCTCTACCACCACAGGGACACACCTGCAAAGGATGAAGAAACAATAGGTGTGAACGTGGCTGCCATAAGAAAAGAAGAATGTAGGAGGCTTTTTCAGTGGTCCGAGGCCCAAGAAAGAGGTGTTTCCAGTAAAATAGTACAGAGAAGTGCAGGGATTTAGAGCACACACACACACACACACACACACTTGCATGTAAACATGCACACACACAACACACTCATACACTCATGCACACTCTTTATAGAATAGACACACACACACACACGCATGTGTACACACACACATGCAGACACACACATGCACACACACACATTTGAGACAGGGTCTCTCTATGTAGCCTTGGCTGCCCTGTAACTCGTCGAGATCCTCCTGCCTCTGTGAAGTGCTGGGATGGCAGGAGAGGCGTAGTGGCTGGGGCTCGGTATGTGGTGGTGGGCGCTTGGCTGGTGACCCGTTACCTCTGGGCACAACCAGGGACATAAACTCACAAGCCCTGCCCCTACGGCCTTCACCTGCCAGAGAGGCTACCTGTCCAAAATGTCCCACACCTTCCCCAAACAGCACCGCTGTTGGGGATCAAGTGTTAGCACATATGAGCCTTGGGGAAACAACATTGAAACCACAACATTGAATAGAGCGCTTTTTCCTTGTTTGTTTGCTTGAAATTTATCTTATTTTAAATTACAAGATGTGCGTGTACCTGCAGATGAATATATGCGATTGAATACAAGAGCCTTTGCTGGCCAGAGGCAGTGGAGCTGCTGGAGCCGGAGTTCCAGGCAGTTGTGAACCAAAGAATATGTGTGCTGGGACCTGAACTCAGGTCCTCTGCAAGAGCAGTACACAGTTTTTTTTTTTTTAATCTGTTGAGCCGTCTCGCCATCCCAAGGGGTTTAAAAAAGAATCAATTTTTTTATGCATTTCTTCAAAGTGTTACTGTATGTTATAGGACCCTAGACAGTATGGTCATGCCTGTGTTTTTAATTCCAGCTAAGTTGCTTGCAACTTACTTTAACATTTTCTAAACTTAAAGTCATCTTTGTGAGATGCATTCATATAGAAATGGATAGCCCAACTTTATCTGTTAAGGGTGAATAGGGTTCTGTTATGTGTGTGTAACTTCATTTGTTTATGATTTTTTTTTTTTTTTTACTGTGGTGTGATTAATTTATGGGGGATAGATAGTGTTCTATTATATGTAATGACACATTTGTTCTTTTCCCTGTATAGACAGGCCATTTCTATATGTATATGTATATTTATATTATAAGCAATGATTTTTGGAAACATTTTCCAACCATTTGTCTGAGTTGCCAAGTTTAAGCCAGAAGTTCAAAGATTTACTTTGAGAGGACCATCGGGTAAACATCTTATTTTCATGAATTAAATATGGTAAATGTCTGTGGGGATTTCCTTTGCTGAAATGTGAGTTTTGACAGGGGAGAGGCAGAGAAGGCTGGGACCCCCAAACTTCCACTGTTCATAGTTATGCAAAATTCTTGCTTTGACAATTCCTTAGGCACCAGCAAAAGTAGTCTCGGCTGCCATCTGGCCTTTTAGGTTTGGATATGACAACAAGGGCTGGTCAAATCTCGAGGGGTCTGCTCGGCTGCTCAAGGAGACGGGTGAGTCTTTCTATAATTGGCCCCAGGTCTTGAGAAACCACGGCTGTTCCGTTTGTTTTTGCCAAGTTGCCGGGTCTTAGGACTGCTGCGTGTGCGCTGAGTCTCCGAGGAGGCTTCGCTTTGTGGTCAGCCCGAGTCTACAGTCCTGCACCACAGCTGTGCTTTGGAGCAATTAATTTCTTGGTCCCGAACAGCCTGTAGTACTGAGTAGCTACAGGAGACTCATGCCTTTGTGGTGAGAGATGTTGCGGATTGTAGCTCTAGCCACCTGAAGACCTGCTAATGGGGACTAGGAAGCTACTGGAGTACAAAGCAGAATGAGTTTTACGTACAGTGGTGGGAATTTTTCTCAGAGGTTAGGCGCACTGACTGCTCTTTCAGATGGAGCTAGGTTCAATTCCCAGCACCCACACGGCAGCTCACGCATGTCCGTAACTCCAGGTGAAGGGGATCCAACATCCTTACACAAGCATGCAGGCAGGCAAGATACCAAGGCACATAAAATGAAAAAAAAGAAAATTGTTTTCATAAAGCTATCCCTCATGGGAAGCTCGCCCCCTGAGAGGTGTCTGGGGGTCTTCATGAGCACAATGCTTTAGCCTTGACCAGAAGGCTCAGGCACATCAGTCCATGGTCCAAGAAAAACTGATAAGCTCATTCTTATACCAATACCATGGGGCTTTTTGCCTTGGGCTGAAATGGCATAGTGGAGTCGGAGACATAGCTTCGTGGGTAGCTTGCATATCACACACAAAGCCCTGGGTTCAATCCCCACCACTGAACAAATGAGGCATGGTGGTGCATACCTGTTAACCCAAGCACTCTGGAGGTGGAGACAGAAGTTCAAGGTCATCCTCAGTTACATTAAGAGGCCAGCCTGGGTTACATAAGACATTGCCTCAAAAAAAATATAAAAAGCCAATGTGCACTGTTTTACTGTTTCTGAACATAAACTGGGGATTTGTAAAAGACATGAAGGTTATTTGAACTTCTGGAAAAAAAAGTCAAAAATATTTTAAAAATGAGCCAGGCAGTGGTGGCACACACCTTTAATTCCAGCACTCAGAAGGCAGAGGTAGATGGATCTTTGAGTTCAAGGCTAGCCCAGTCTACAAAATGAGTTCCAGGACAGCCAGGGCTACACAGAGAAACCCTGTCTCAAAACAAACAAACAAACAAACAAACAAACAACACCACAAAAAGTTTAAAATGTAGAAAAGTCATACTTCTCTCCTTCCATAAGCTGAACCACATTTAATTAAATTCTAAGCATCCAGCACAGATTTGAGCCACATTCCTCTTGTGACTCATAAGAATTATTTGTCTTGGGGCTTGTGAGTAAAGGCGAGAGTCGAGACTAGCATTCTGCTGGGTGTGGTAGAAGTGCCTAAGATAGAAGTAGGGGGAACATGAGTTCAAGACTAGCCCCAACTACCAAATGAGCCCTTGCCTCAACAAAACAAAATAATAACAAAATCCATAATTTTTTTTTTTTGGCTAATTGCTTCTTATGTTGTTTCCTTACTGTCTGCTTTTGCTCCCTTTTCCCCCAAACAGGTGCAGATTTTATTACCATCTTGGAAAGTGATGCTTCTAAACCCTATATAGGGAACAATGACTTAACTCTGTGGCTGGGGGAGAAGATGGGTTTCTATACAGACTTTGGGCCAAGCACCAGGGATCACACTTGGGGGTGAGGACACCTTGGGACCTGATGCCCAGCAGAGTCATGCGCAGCGATGGCTTGGGATGGGGAGTTCAGACTGTCCCGTGACTTTGCCTCAGTGACTCATCTTGGGAGGCAGGGAAGTGCTAACACCATGGCTACACATGCATTTGTATAGTGGCTCTCTAGGGCCGCATAGTACCGGATCTTCTTATAGATTAGCCACTCAAGGCTGGAGGGAAGCCACAATTCCAGGCCTGTTTGAGATTCTCAGGCAGCCCATGTTCTAGTGTAAAAGGCCAGAACACAGGTGGCCTTCCATACCAGCCTCTTTACTCCTGGATTCAAACAATACAAACTCGAACACAATGTGAGACTAGAGAGACCGCTCAGCAGTGAAGATCACTTGCTGCACAGTCATGAGGACCAGAGTTCAGATCCCAGCACACACATAGCAAGCCAGGCATCTCTGTAAATACCAGCCCTCCAGTCCTGACGGATCTGACTCTCTCTTGGCCTTTGTGAGCACAGACAGGTGCACCCTCACTCTCTCTCCCTCTCACACAAATATACACAAATAATAAAGTATTTTAAAAACAGAAGGTCCCCCCAAAAAGTACACTCCAAGGCATTTACTGAAACACACTTCGTGCTGTGATTAGTGACTCAAGCAAGACAAGCTAAACAGGAAGAAGCAAGCAGACTTCCACAGAAGACACCTTTGCCACATTCCTGCTCAGAGTGGCCCTCAGTGGGTGCCTGTCGCGTGACGGGACTTTCTAGTGCATTTCCTTCATCTCATCTCCGTGATGGGCTGAGACCCATTACTGCCCTGTGTCTTCTCTTCTCATACAGGATTATGGTGCTGTCTCGGTACCCTATTGTGAGATCGGAGCATCACCTCCTTCCGTCGCCAGAGGGCGAGATCGCACCAGCCATAACCCTGACAGTTAACATCTCCAACAGATTGGTGGATTTCGTGGTGACACACTTTGGGAATCACGAGTGGGTTTCTTTGATTTAATTAATAGTATATAAATGCCAGGAAGTATTGTTAACATTGCTACATTTCATTTTTGAAATGAAGTAGACTTTCTTACTTTCTACTCCTAAAAAAACCAACTTAGATTATTTTCCCTGTGCTGCTGGTTGAGAGCCTGACGGCCGTGCGGGCCCACAGCTGCTTGTATAGCTGCTCTGCACACATGTGTGGCTGTGTTTAATCTTCATGTTGTACAGAGTGCCATATTGGGGTCATTTTATAGATGAATACTAGGTGGAGAGAGGTCAGGGTCACACAACCAGAAGTCAGAACAAAGCTAGAGCTCACAAGGGCTTGGAACTACACATGAGAGCAGACTGCAGGAAAAAAAAAGTCACTCCCTGTCCTCACAGGGTTATTGGCACAAATAGCTGTGTTGCTGGGATCCGATGTTCCTTTCTTTCCTCCTGTTTTCACAAACAACTGATAGGCAACACTTCCTGTCCGTACTTGGCTAAGCCCTGTCTTCGAGCCTCCTTCAGTAGCATTTCTCCAAACTTCTAGGTTCCTGGTGACCTTTCGCCATCTTGCTTTGTCCCTGTAACACTCATCAACTGGCCTATGAAACCTTTGTTTGTCAACCACTTGTTTACTCATAGATCTGTCCCTTGCACCTGCCCCTGTTCTATACATTTCCCAAGGTCCTTCGCCTTCTGCTTTCTAGGTGGATTTAGCCGACGAGAGGAATAAGGTTGGAAGCTACGAAAAGGGAGGAGCCGGGGCGTTTTCACCCCTCCTCTGTGCATTTTCTGGCATCTCTGGTAGCAGACGAGTCTCTTTCGTGGCTGCGGTTCCTTCCTGGTACCTGGGACCTCGTTCTGACTCTGTAGTATCCCCTCTGACTCTCCATCCTCTTGTGGTAGAAATGGTGTTAGTGTCTCATTGCTGCCCGCCTCTGATTGGGTCACTGGCCCCTGATTAACTTCTCGTCACTCAAGTAACCAATTCCCTGCATTAAATCCACTTTGTTCAAAACTCCTGAGGTGCCTCTCTTTTCCGGATAGCTCATATCAAACATGATGTTTGTTTTTTTTCTGAGACTGTAAGCCTGTCACAAGTCTAATGTTCTTGCCTATTGATCTGTTTCCATGCCTACAGTAATTAGCATATTAAAGGCAAGGTGCCCAGTCAGTATTTGGGCAAGAGAGTGTTCAGCTGAAGTAGCTGTGGTTACACACGCCCGGGCTGACCTATAAGCACTACAACTCTTCCTCTTATTCGTGTCCCTGGATCTATTATTTGGCTGTTAGTTCTTTAGCTGTGATCCTGATGACCAGATATCACACTGAGAGGGCTTTAATTCCAGCTGACCCACCATCAGGCCAATCTGACGACAATGACAGGCTTTAGTCTTAATTTGACCTGACTAGACTTGGGTTTCTGTTTTGGTTTCGGTTTCTAGAAAGAGAACCCACAGGGAAAGGGCAGCCAGTCAGCATCAGCCCCAATGTCCGGCTAGGCCACACATCCTCACATCACAGCTACTTGGGAAAGTCTCTAAGCCCCCGGCCAATCAGGATTGACCCTGTACCCCTTGGCCAGCTGCCCACCAATCAAGGTAAAGGTCACCTACTCATCCCAGGAATTTTCCTAACTGACCGTCTATAAACAAGGCCTGTGAGTGGTGACCCCAGCATGCTGGAGTTCTGCAGAAAATGAACTCTCTCTGCTGTTTGCCTTCTTCGTGAGTTTGGGGTCTTCTTCTCAGCGAGATCTGGACCCTAACAACACCACTGCCATGCTTTCTTCCTTCCCTTGTGTGTTTATGTTCATTCACATGGTTGGAGATTCAACAGGGGGTCTTTGTGCATGGGAGGCAGACCTGCCATGACTTATTAACAGTGAAGAGTTGAGCAAATGCCGTATTTGGAATAGAAGCTTAAAGATTTGTTTTATGTTTTGACTATGCATGTGTGTGTGCCTGTGAGCTGCACGTGTAGATGAGTGTGGGGGCTCGAGGAGGCCAGAAGAGTGTCACGGATGCCTTGACGCTGAAGTCAAAGGTGGTTGGGAGCTGGCTGGCATGGATGCTGGAAACCAAACTCCATTCCCCTACAAGAGCAGCAAGTACTCTTAAGTGCGAAGCCATCTTCAGCCCCAAGAGAGACTTTTAAATCAATTTGACTCAGTGTCTTCTGAAGAAAGGTTGTTCTTAGTCAAGAGTTTCTCAAGCCCAAGTCTGAAGTGCTTGGTCTGTGTCTTGTTCATTGTAAAAATTCAGACCTTTTCTCAACAGAAATCTCTCTGGCTTTGTACCCTGTTTGAGGATATTTGGGGGAAGGGGGGAATTTGACTATCTGTTCTTTTTGAAACTTGTTATATATATAATCACATAGAATTTAATTGTTTTACATATAATGAAAAGGCTCATTTTTCCTATTTTTTTAAGAGATGATCTCGACAGGAAGCTACAGGCAATTGCAGTTTCAAAACTGCTGAAAAACTGCTCAAACCAAGTGATATTTCTGGGCTATATTACTTCAGAGCCTGGTTCCAGAGATTATGTCCAACTCACGGAACACGGCAACATGAAGGTAACACAAGGTTGATGTGACTTCTGATCTACTAAATCAAATGCTTCTTTATTCCTATACACTTAAAAAAGCCCAACCCAAAAATTGTGTGTGTGTTTGTGTGTAATCAGAGGTCTGGAGTTGACGTAAAGTGTCTTCTTCTGTTGTTTGTCACACTGTTTTGAGACAGGGTCTGTCTCCGAACCTGGAGCTCCCGGGATAGACCCTGGGATCAGCTTGTACTGCTTTCCCAGGGCTAGAATTACAAGTATGTACCAACTTATAACTGGGTACCAACTGTACCCAGATGCATGCTGGGGATCTGAACCCAAGGTTGTGTGGCAGTCATGTTTCCAACTGAGTCACCTTCCCAACACCCTGACAACTTAGTATATTCTCTACATAGCCTACTGCTTTAAAACAACAGAACACGCCGGTTTGTTTACTAACCTGTGCTATGGACAGGGCTCAGTGGGGACAGCTCAGTTGTCTTTCATGTAGGGCCATTAAGCTGCTTCTTTGGCACTAGAGGATTTCCTGTGTGGAGGATTCACAAACAATGCTTTGGCTCAGGAGTATGGCTCCTGCTCCTGGGCTAACTGGCTTCCTCCCTCTTGGTGGCTAGGTTCCAGAGCGAGTAAACAGAAGGAGAGCCTGCATTGTCCTCTAGTACTTGACCTTCTAAGTGGCCCAGTGTCACTTCTGCTTTAATCATAATTCTTATCACATTCATCTGAAGGAACAGAAACCTCGCTGCTTGATTCAGAGAATGTTGAAGACAACTAGCAAGGATACCACAGGCCCCGTAAGATGTTATTGTAACTGTGCTTAGAAAATGAAATCTGCCACACTGTGAAAGTTAGTTATAAGGAAGAGAAGTGGAGCCAGGCACAGTGGCGCATGCCAGCACTCGGGGAGGAAGAGGCAGGTAGATCTTTGTGAGTTCAAGGCCTGCCTGGTCTACAAAGTAAGTTTAGGACAGTTGAGGCTACACAGAGAAACCCTGTCTTAAAAAAACAAAACAAAACAAAACAAAACAAACAAAAAGTTGGAGTATCAGAAAGAGTGGCTTCCAGGTCATGTAGGGTCTTACTGTACCATTCCAGGTCTAAAACACTTCAATTATTTAGTGTATCCTGATAAAATCAAGCATTCAGGAAATAATATACAAACCAAATACTGATCCATGCACCAGAATATGACCCATATTATTTGCTGCGTTTGATGAAGCTCAGTAGAGATTTCTCTCCTTTTTTGTTTTGAACCTCATGTCTGGAGATGTGTCTGTAGAGAAGTGGCCAATTTTACCACTCTAACTGTCCTTAGGACATAACATTGGGAAGGAGAGAGAGAGCATGGCATAAAGAGGGGTTTCGGTAGATGACAAAACTCAAATGATAGCGGTGAGAATGATAGAGAAGCATGTATCGAAGTCTTGGTGGAAGGCAGAACCAAACTGAAATGACACTCATTCTGTCGTTCTTTCTCTAATGTGGCTCTACTCTGTCAGGCCTGTGCTGCCATGGCCTCTGTCTCTGTGACCTTCCCCCCCGCCCCCAACCCCTGACTATGGCCTCCACTCTCATGGTCTCCACTCCTGCGGTCTGATCACGCGGAACAACCTCCGTGTTCTACTTGGGAAGATAGAGAAAGAGCTAAAGAGGCTGTCCAGAGTGTGTGCAGGTTGCCTCTAAATGCAAACTCCGGGCTCTGCTGCTTTTATTTCTTTGACCGGAGTTCAGTCGCATGGACGTGCTTCGCTGTACAGAAGCCTGGAGGTAGAGCAATCCATCTTGATGGCTATTTACACAGGGAGCTGGCTCTTTGGAAAGGGGGCAACACTGGGGACTGTGTTGGCCTCTATATTCATGGACTAGGCAGAAATGGAGCCAATGGATTCCTTGTTTGGTGGTGATGGGAACATTTATTACAGAGAATAACAGTGAAGAAAAACAGTATAGCAAAGAGGATGAACTCAGCTTTGGGCTGAGTTTGAGGTATGTGCATGGCCCAGTGGAGTTACCTAAATGATGAGAGGATATATCATCTAGAATCCAGGAGTTTAATCAGGATCAGAGACAGGGATCAAGGATACAGGCAAACCACCTCCCTTGAGGAATTCAAGAAGTGCAGGAGAACACAGAAAGCTGCCTCTGTTACTCTAGTTTGTGTCACCACAGTAGTTTATGAAGAAATCATTTGCTTGCCTCATAGTTTTGGAGGCTAGCATCATAAGATTAGGCAACCCTAATCTCTTCAGCCTCCGGTGAAGGCCGTACCATGGCTTCATAACACAATGGATGAAAGGTAAAAGGAAATGGCCCTAGGAAGGGAGAAGCAAGTACAGGGAGCTGCCGCATCTTATGACAGCTGGCTCTAGTCCAGTTAGATGTCACGACCTCTGTGAGACCAGAGCCAATCCCCTCTGGAGGAGGTACCCCCACGACTTAACCACTTTCACCTAGGCCCTGACCTACAGAGTTTGCACACCTCAACATGGCCATAATGGAGTCCAAAGGTCCATCGTATGAAGCCTTGAGGAATGTGTTTTAAATCACATTCAACTGATAGCTATTATGGGGTGGTGAGGGAGAGGAGAGCACCAATGTCAGGAAAGAGCCTGGGGAAGCTCAAAAGAGTCAAAGGAAAACCTAGGGCCTGGAGTCCCAGGCTTCCCAGTCTCCCCTGTGAGAAATGGAGGTAACCTTGCTTTTCATTTGATCCGCTGTTGGTTTCCTATATAATGGCTAAAAGCTGTTTGATTGGCAATGCACTCTGATCTCGCTTTTCTATGAGGAAATTAATTGATGTATAGAGGAATTTTAATCATATATGCTTGGATGAACAGGGTTTTCTCCTTAAGAAATGAGTAATTAAATTCTTTAGTCTTAAAATTTTACAGCATCGTATAAAATCCTAATGAAGTGAAATAACAGTTAAACAGATTCATAGCCGATTGGCCCTGGTATCTATAGCTAAATGACTAAATGATTATCTCTTTCCCAAGGCAAACAGAACCTATTTATTTTATTTATTTGCTCTTTATAGTTATTAAACATTTTGAACTTAATTTCTAAGATTTATTTACACTTTCTTTTCTATGCAAATGGTGTATATAATATAAGCAATAACTGAGATTAACACCAAGGTGCATTTTATGTAGCAAATAAAATTTATAAATTGTGGCACATTTTTACTAACATAAAGTGTATTCCAAGTTAAATTTTAATAGTTAAAATTTAGAGGTGGCAAGACCTAAGGTATATATATAATTTATTTATAGGCTATTTAAAAAGAAGGAAGTGGAGATTTCTTCTTTCAGCCACAAAGCTCCATATTTATGGGGTTTTTTCCCAGTACATTATAGAAAAAAAAAATCCCTTCTCCTTCTCTGATGAAAAATGAGCCTGGTTTCAAGCCTTCAACATCAAAAGGCTCTTGATTGCTCCTGAATGTGCTTCTGTCCATGATTTGATTTAGTAAACACAGACCAAGCACCTGCCAAACACCAGGCTTTGAGCTAAGAAGCACCAGGCAGCTGAAGGTCTGTGGAGGTGAGCCCCTCTGCACAGACAGGCAAGGGAAAGAAAAGAAAGAAAGCCGGGCGTTTCTCATCCTTTCACTGCGCTTTTTCTAACACGCCGGCGGCACGGGGGTGTAACTGGTGTCCAGAGCCTGGCTAGGAGGCCTGGAATGGGCATGGAGGCTCTCAGTTTGGCTGGGTGGGGGTGTGTGACAGATTTGGAGAGCCGCAGGAGGTGAGACCACAGGGTAACTGCCAACTTACCCATGCGTCTGTGTAGTCTCTGTGCTCCTGGCATCAGTTCAGAGATAGAGAGGGGCTTAGAAACCATTCAAAAACCGTCTAGAGTGAATGAATAATTAATGCTCGGAGGATCAGAAGGAGGGTGGAGAGAAAATAAGCTGTGCTCTAGTTCATCTTCCTTCTTTCTTTCCTTCCTTTCTTCCTTCTTTCGTTTCTTTCTTTTTTTTTCTCTATCTTTTTGGGCAATTCAAAATAGGATGTTGTTTTCTATATTTTAAGCATTCTCTCTGCTCTCCAATAGGATATTGACAGCTCAGATCGAGACAGATGGTGTGAATACATCATGTATCGGGGCCTGATCAGGTGAGCACAAGCACTTAAAAAATAATCTGTGAATTCTAGAAGACAAAGTGTCACGGGAGCAATTAATAATTGTGGTTCTTTAAAAATGTTGATTTTTATTTGGTTACACTAGTTAACAGTTTCAACAGTTTAAGAAGGCAGAACTAGCTAAGCAAGTTTAGTGATATTATAAGGGCACTGTAAACTATTTAACACAACGCTGTTTAACCAATGCATGTAAGAATAGGACCATTGGAAGACCATCCTTGTGGATACAGGGAGCAGAGGTACAGAGGCCCTAACTAACACAAGAGTGTTTGGTTTGAAGAGAGGTGACACTAAGGAAGCTGCAGTATGTGTTGGGGTTGGGAGAGGAATGACGTAGCAGGTGAGTATTGTCAGGGTATGTTGGGGGGAGGGAGGGAACAGCTCTTTTAAGGTTCTATAGACTCTTATTAAGGACTCTGAATATAAACATAATGGTGACCTTACTGGCCCTCGGAAAACTCACCTAGTTGGCTCATAAAGGAAGTTCCAGAAATCATTTAGGTGCTATGAAGGTCATTCTGGTTACAGCACTGGTTTAAAGACTAGATAAGAGGCCCAGGCAGAGAGCTGCAGGCCAGCTAGCCTGAGTACTGTGTCAGTGTTTCCAAAGAGCTGTGGCAGAACACGCTGCTTCATAAAGTATTTCCTATCTAAGGCTGAGAATACTGTTTCTAGTCCCCTCTACATTCAGGTATTTGTTTGTCATAGGATATCAGAATTCTAGAGAACAAACCTTGGTGTGGACTGAAATAGGCATAACAGTTCCAAGTTGCAAAAATGATTAGTTATCAAGACATGGCATATTTATGATAACTGATGGCTCTGTGTGTGTGTGTGTGTGTGTGTGTGTGTGTGTTACAGCTTATGCATTGTCCCAGCCTGGTTGCCCTAGTGAAATACCATAGAATGAGTGTGGGTTGTTTAAATAAAAGCCATTTATATTCCCAAAGCGCAACAAAGGCAGCAAGGTTGCTGTCTGGTGAGGGCTCTCCCTTTGGATGGTACGTGGCTGCCTTCTTGTCCAGGGCTCACACAGCCTTTCCTTGGCACAGGTCTTTGAAGTGCTGTCTCTCAATTACCCCATTCACTGTCTTGCACTTAGTAGACATTAATGATAATTGAACAACAATGGAAGCCTCCCTGCTTCAGGGAGGTTTTTTTTTTTTTTTTTAATATAACCACATTCCTTATCTTCAAGGACTTTAGGAATATCTTTGAAGGTCAGGTCTATGAATCAGGCTAAAACTTTGATCTTGGAGATTCAGGAACTAAACAGCCCAGATTTGTCAGCGACTGCTTTGGAATTAGCTGGAGCTGCAATGCCTGAGCTTAGCCCAAAGCCCTAACCTGTGTGACAGCTCAGATCCCCCATTTGATCCAGCCACAGCTCTTGTCCCTCTTTGTTGTGGGAAGGTGGGCTGCCTCCACCCACCCTGGTTCTTCGTTTCTGTTTCTCTCTCACAGGGTTTCCAATATCAGCATTAAGCCTTCCTGTCTGACTGACACCCCTTTCTTTCACATTTCCACAAGGCTCCCCACTCCCCCTTCCCGTAGCATGTACCCTACACAGCGGCCACCACATATGTCCACCCCAACCCCTCTGATGGATTCCCATTTCCCTCATCTCCCTTCTGCATAGGAATATGAGTCCTCACAGGTGTGTGCAAGGATGGTTTTTGACATCTGCATCCCCTCTATCCCAAGTTCATTGCCTTTCACACTCTCCCTTCAGTCCTGGTGCAGGGGATTCCCGAAACACCACCCGCTCTAAGGCTTTTTCTCTCTTGTCCCTTCCCCTACACTTACTCCCGTATCTGTCTTGCTTGCTCCTTATCATCCAGTGTCTTTTTCCATTGTTACTTTTCAAAGAAGTACTTTGTGAGCATGCTCTGTGAGGCAGCAGTCTCTGCTAACCAGCACTCCTTACTCCCTGGACTTTCCCGTGGGACTTATCTGTCGCCGCGCCATAGATTTCATGCATACACACTTGTTCAGTTTGTCCCCCAGCTAGAACAAATGCTCAGTGGGAGCAAGGACTTCATTTTACTTCCCGTTCACACACCCCCAACCTAAAATGAGATATTTGGATTTTTAAAGGTAAGAAAATTTAAGTGTGCATTCCTGTCATTCTGAAGTAGTAACTGTTATTAACTCAAAACGTAATTATATGGGAAGCAGTTTGTGTGGACAGAACAGTCGTTTGAGCACAAAAGGAAAGCAAGGATTTCTAAATGGAGTTAATTAAATCTGTGTACATATTTCTTATTCATTTACCATGTTATGAAAATCCTGTTAATATTTAGGGTAATAAATCAAGTTGGTTCTAATCATGATGCACAGAGCCAAGTTAGAAATGGGAAGCTAGCTTAGTAAAAGAAGGTGCTAGCCATTAGAGCCCATTGGATTTTGGTTGGGCCATTGCTAAACTCATCAGAGTGTTTTTATAATGAGACTTTTTACAAACCATTTCTAATTCTTCTCCAGGTTAGGTTACGCAAGAATTTCTCATGCTGACCTGAGTGACTCTGAGATTCAGATGGCCAAATTCAGGATCCCCGATGATCCTGCCAATTACAGAGACAACCAGAAAGTGGTCATAGACCACAAAGGGGTTCCCGAGAACATTCACTTCAACCCCAGGTGAGCGAGTGCCTTTGCACTGCAGGCAGATCAGACAAGCTACCATATGCCCTTAGCTAGCCCACTTGTCACCTCCCGTGAGATCAAAATTGTCGTAGAGTCTCGAGGCCCACTCCAAGTACAGAAAGCCATGATAAAGATTATAACCCATGGGTTGAAGTTATAATCTTTGCTTTCTGGAATGAAGAAATGTGTTCTAGCCTTAGCCTCAGGGGAAATGTCCCATTGTTGTCATTGTTACCATTATCACCACCACCATCATCACCATCATTGTCACCATCAACACCACTGCTACCATCATCAGCATCACCATTATCACCACTACTACTGCCACCGCCATTATCACCACCACCACCACCATCATCATCACTATCATCACCATCACCGTTAACATGACCATGATAGTGAGTATTCGAGTGTCCCCACATCCCAGCTCTGTTCCAGATTCTTTAGTGTTACCTCAGTTTAACTCATTGGGTAACTGTTAACTGCTGTTACCGACATTTTGCTGAGGAGGAGGTTCGGGCTGAGGAATACTACCGCATTAAGCTTACTAGTCATGACAGAGCTGTTGAGGAGGAAGGAGGCCCATTAGCACCATGGGGTTGCTGTGGTTTCTCACTGGCTGCACCTTCCATTCAGCCTGAGAGCATTTGAAAACTGCACTGCTTAATCTTGCCCCAGCTCAACTCATTAGGACTCCCTGTGACGACGCTTGGTTTTATCAGGTTATTCTAATGGGTGATTCATGCTGAGACTGTGGCGTGTGGTTAATTCCCTTACATTGCAAGAATTCTACCATGAAAGAGATATTGAATTTCCTTTTGCTTAGTTTTTAATCGTGGTTATCTAAGAGATCTGTTTGTAGCCAAGCATATGATTTGATGCATGTGTTCTTTTCTCTGCCACGGTGGGTGGTGAGACAGGACATTCACGTCAACCCAGACACTGAGGGTGCCCTCGACATTATCATCACTGGGCATTTCTACTTTACTAGCTCATAGCTGTAACAGTCCCTCAGACTCTGTCAGGGACAAAACCACACTTCATCCCATGAGTGTCGTGATTAATGGAAGGAGAGGGGAACCCAGCCTTGTGCTGTTACTGTGTTCCTCTCTTGCTGTGGAAGTGATGGGGTGGATTCAGTCTCTGTATTCTTGCCAGAGAAGACAGGACTGCATAGCATTAGCCCAGGACGAGTTCAAACATCTAAGTGCAGTTCCTACTGAACACGTATCACTTTCAGAACACGTGTCTTAGGTTTTCTATTGCTATGATGAGAAACAAGACCAAAAGCAAGCTGGGGAGGAAAGGGTTTTTTCCATTTATGCTTCCACGTCCCAGTTCCTCATCAAAAGAAATCAGGACATGAAGTCAGGGCAGGAACCTGGAGGCAGGAGCTGATACAGAGGCCATGTATGTATACTAGCTTGCTCTCTATGGCTTGTTCAGCCTGTTTTTTTTTTTTATAGAACCAGCATGGAGGTGGCCCCAACCACATTGGACTCCCTAGTTAAGAAAATACCCTAAAAGTTTGCTTGTGGACCTTTTTTTTGGGGGGGGGGGAGTTGTCTGTGTAGCCTTGGCTGTCCTGGACTCGCTTTGTAGACTAGGCTGGCCTACGAACTCACAGAGATCTGCTGCCTCTGCCTCCTAGAGTGCTGGGATTACAGGCGTGTGCCACCGTACCCAACTTGCTTGCAGCCCAATCTTATGGAGGCATTTTCTCAATTGAGGTTTGCATCCCTCAAAAGTCTCAAGTTCATACCAAGTTCACATAAAACTAGGCAGCATAGGGTCCATCTTTTTTTGCTGAATGAGATGACTTCTTAAATGGAAAAATAAAACTTTTGGACAAAAAAAAATATTTCTTTTTTTCTTCCTTCTTCATATACCAAGAGTGTGGCAAGAACCCCCCTTCCCCCCCAAACAAACTATTTTTGGCAAACCACAACTGCAGATTGAGCCAAGACAACTGTGGTTGAGCTAGATCTATTTCTTTGTTCAGTTACAAGGATGATGAAGGTGGTGGGGGAAGCCTGGTCTTTGTTACAGAATCCTGCTCATAAGGTACTGCACTTAAGATACAGTCTCTCAGTGGTCTTAAATAATTGTTGCGTCATTATTAACTTTAGTTGCAAAGCATTAGAGTGGTAGATACTCATCCTGTACACTGAAATCACATCCTACCTGTGTCTTCTGTCAGCCTCAGGCAACCACTGTTACTATGCTCTCTGCTTCCGCAAGTATAACTTTTAAAGAGCTCTACATGCGAAAACACACTCTCTCATGCTTGTGCGCGTGCTCTCTCTCTCTCTCTCTCTCTCTCTCTCTCTCTCTCTCTCTCTCCTTCCTTTCTCCTGAGGACCAAACAGGAGAAATCCAGATAAGCACTCAGCCACCGAGCCATACCTCAAGTCCTTGTTTTGTTTTTTAATTTTTCTTTGAAATAGGGTCTCACTGTGCTGTTCAGGATGACCTTGAACTTTCTATCTAATCTAGGCTGGTTTTGAACTGGAATACCCCCTGCCTCTGTTTCCCAAGTGCTGAGATGACAGCTGAGCTGCAGGTGTCTGGTTAGGTCACTGCTCATAGGGCCTCTCCGTTAACCCATGGTGCAGCAGAAGACAGAATTTTCTTCTCAAAGGCTGAATAATATTCCAGTGTGTGTGTGGACACAGGTCAGCCTTTGTGTCATTCGGAACTCCTCAGCTGTCCTGTAGGCATAAGATTATTGTGTAATTCAAATGCTTATTTCTGTACTCCCCAATATCTGGTTGCAATCCTTTGTTCTGAGAATCTCCTGTCTCAATGTTGTATAAACTCTGCTCGCCAATTGTCCCCTGATATGGCAATAAAGCAGCTTATAGCCAATCACTGAGCAGGGAAGAGAATAGGTCTGGACTTCCTGTCAGCCAGGGGACAAAGAGTTAGAAGAGGAAGTGAGGTGTCCCATCCAGCAGGGGTTCAACAGGTTCCTAAGGAGCCACGAAAAGAATGGGATAGAACAAGAGACACGAAGAATGAGAGCAAGTCTATAATCTGATCCAGCTCTTGTTCATTTGAAATTTTTTACACAAATTTATGGGAGAAGTCAGGGAGGGAAAATGTGTCAGCAAAGTAGTTTACAATAAAAGATAACAGTGTGGTTGATGATGCAGAATGCTGCAAGAATGTTTACTAAAAAAGATACCACAAGAATGTCAGCTAAGATATCTCAAAATGTCTAGCCTGACGAACAGATGTCTCATAAGTTCCAGAAACATAAATCTCTCACCCACGACCTTGTTGCAGCTGTCTGTAACTTTCCACTAGCTGGCCTTGGCTCCCAGCAGTGAGGGGGGTTCAGGGACAGGAGAGGTCCAAGAGACATCAGGAAGAGAGCTGGATCAAAAAAGCTACAAAGTGCAAATATCTCTGGCACATATACTGTGAGGAAACCAGATTAGTTTAGAAAGGTAAGAAAAGAGTATTAACTGTTCAGGTATTATGCTATGGAGCTTATTGTTAAACTAACATAATAAAGTCTCAATTATTTGTGTGCTAGCTGGATTAAGAGAGAAACTAAGAAACAAATGTAGCTTTATAAAAATAACTTTTAACACTGTCCTTGTTTTTTTGAGATCGTTTCTCACTAGCCTGAAGTTCACCCATTAGGCTAACCCCATTCGATCTGCCTGCCTCTGTCTCTCCAGTGCCTGGATTGCAAGAGCATGCCAACACACTTGGCTTTTAAGATGTGGGTCCCGGGAGTCAAATTCAGGGCTCCATGGTTACCCAGCAAGCGTCTTACTGACTGAGCAGCACCCTCTTAAATCCAACTTTTGAGTTAGCACACAAAGTGATGGGTTCCATTATGGCACTTTCAAATGTAACATACCATCGTATTCTTACTCATTCTCTCCCCCACTGCCGTCCTCCAACCATCCTTCCCCCAGACAGTGTGATAGTCATGTCACATCTATCGATCACCTCTCTTCATTATCTTCCCACGTTCCTTGACATCTCTTCCTCCCCTCTCACTATAGCTTTTATCACACACACACACACACACACACACACACACACACACACACCCGCATGCACACACACTCACTCACACACACACACTCACTCTCACACCTGCACGCCCAACATACATTCCAGTCTGTATTCCACACATTAAACATGTGGTGCCTGTCTTTTTTGAATCTGGCTAATTTTGTTATAACGTAATGATTTCCTGTTGCGTCTACTTTCTGAAGATGTTACAATTTTAGTTTTTCTCTGTGACCGAATAAAATTCCATTGTGTGTATATACCACATTAAAAAAAAATCCACTCCTAGGTTGATAGATACTGAGGTAGGTTCCGTTTCCCAGCTAATGCGAATAGTGAGGTAAGAGACGTGTATGTGTAGGGGGTCCCTGTGGGTATGAATCCGGGAGTGGTATGGATAGGTCACAAGCTAGCCCACTTTTAGCTTTTGGACTTTTAGCCTTTCCCCTAGTGGCTGTCCACGTTTGCATTCCCTTCAGCAGAACAGGAGTGTCCTCCTTCCCCCACATCCTTCCTGGCCTTTATTGTCATTTGTTTTCCTGATGATGGTCATTCTGATTGGGGTAAGATGGAGTCTGCATGCAGTTTTAATTTTTCACTTCCCCTATGAGAGTATTGAATACTCTCCCAAATATTTTACTGACTTTTTATGTTCCTCCTTTGGAGAACTGTCTGTTCATTTAATCAGCTCAATTTATTGATTGGATGATTTTTTATTTCATTTGCAGTTGTTCCACGTATATAAAACATTAATTACTAGATTGATGTATAGCTGGATTTTTTTTCCCAAATTCTGAAGGTTTTCTCTGTATTCTGGCGATGGTTTTATTTGCTCTGCAGAGCCTTTAAGTTTTATGCAGTTCCACTCTCCAGTTCCTCTGGTTATTTTCTGTACTGCTGGAGTGTCCTTGTCAGGAAGTCCCTGTCCCAGCCTTTACCTTGAAGTGTTTTATGTATAATTTCCTCTAGCAATTTCGAAGTGTCATACTTGCATTCAGGTCTCCAGTAGATTCTGAATTGATTCTGGGGTAAACTGAGGCTCTGGTTTCATTCTTCCACACATGGAAATTCAGTTTTTCTGGACCAGTTGTTGAAGAGACCATGTGTTTCCCAGTGTGTGTTTTTGAAATGTTGAAAATTAAGTGGCTGAAGCTGGGAGCAGTGGCACATGCCTGTACTGTAATCCTAGCACTCAGGGAGGCAGAGGCAGGCCAATCTTTGTGTGTTTGAGGCCAGCTTGGCCTACAAAGTGAGTCTAGGACAACCAAGGCTACACAGAGAAACCCTGTTCTAAAAAACAAAGCAAAAATGAAACAAGAAAACTTAAGTGACTATAGCTGTGTAGGTTGATTTCTTGATCTTCTGTTCTATTCCACTGGTTTACAGGCCTATTTCTGTGCCAATACTAACTAGTTTCTGGGGGGAAAAGAAAGAGAAAAAGAGAGAGAAACTAAGAAACAAATGTAGTTTTATAAAATTTTTTAAAAAGATGGGGGAAGAAAAACAAAGAATAAATGAACACAAAAAGAAAAAGATTAAAGATTGCCTGATAATGAAAAAAATGTGCAAACAAAATTAAATGAGTACATGAAAGGAACTAAAAAATAAACATTTATTAACTTTATTTTATGTGCAACTGTTTTGCCTGATTTTGTAAGGGTTTTACTGCTGTGAAGAGACACCATGACCAAGGCAACCCATATAAAAGAAAACATTTCATCGGGGCTGGCTTACAGGTTCAGCGGTTTAGCCTATTATCATGGTGGGAAGCATGGCGGCATGCAGACAGACATGGTGCTGGAGAAGGAGCTGAGAGTTCCACATCTTGATCTGCAGGCAGCGAGGAGAGAGCGTGTCCACACTGAGGGTAGCTTGAGCACAGGAGACTTCAACGCCCACACCCACAGTGACATACTTCCTCCAACAAGATCACACCTACTCCAACAGGGTCCTACTTCCTAAAGGTGCCATTCCCTTTGTGCCAAGTATTCAAACACATTAGAATATGAGGGCCATACCTATTCAAGCCACCACACATACGTGTGTGTGTGTGTGTGTGTGTGTGTGTGTGTGTGTATGTGAACCAAGTGTACGCTTATTGTCTGCAGAAGTCAGGTGAGGGTACAGGGTCTTTTGGAACTGGAGTTATGTCACTTAACTAGAGTTAAGTATGGCTGTGAGTAAAGAGAGTCTATGCTCTCACTTGCTTTTAGCTCTCAGTACCTTGAGTATTACATCACATTGACCAAGGCTGTGTAGTTAACGATCCTTCAAGGAAGCAAAGGAAACCTGCAGCAGATAAGCACTTGTGGGCAATTCAGAAGCTCTGAGCCAAAACAGATTGTGTATAGGTCCAAATGCACGTGGATAAACCTTCGGGGGCCTTGACCCCTTTGCCCATAGGGTAGATAGTATTTAAACCGTGGACTAGAAGAGAAAACTCACACATTTCCCCAGCAGCAATATCAACTGAAGACCCCTGAACACTTGTGCTTTTGAAATGATCTTTCACCAGGGAAAGAGCTTTGGAGTCAAAATTTCAACCTGCCTTTCCCATAAATCCTTTGTAATTTCCGTTTCACTTGATTATCACAAGCAATTTTATAAATTGATCTTTTTAGTGCTCATTTTGTGATAAGTAGATAAAAGTACAATAATTGAAAATTTCCATGAGAACCGCCCTTCTCTCTGAATAGCTTTCTCATGCCAATTATTTCTTTTTTAGATTTGGCTCTTACAAAGAAGGACATAATCATGAAAACAACCACCATTTTCACATGAATACACCGAAATACTTCATCTGAACCCTTTCATACAAGAAGTCATCATTGACCAGGGGAAATGTGCAACAGCCCAAAGAAGAGTCAAGTGAAAATGTCAGGGTACACAAGAAGAATCTAAAAAGTGTGACATCATGCTGTGGGAACTCTGTCAACTCGTAAGCTATGCTGCTTAATAAAGGCATCTCTCTGACTTAATTCTGTTTCCAAAAATAAAAATAGAGTGTGTGATAATATTAGAAAGTTAAGGTCAGGGCTGTAGCAGTAGCTCAGTGGTAGAGTGCTTGCCTCTTGTGCATGGGGTCCTAGGTTCAATTCCCATCACTGCCAAAAATAAAAGGGGCAGAGCAAGGGAAAAAAAAAGAAACAACTGGCTTGTGACTATTTTAACAAACAACTTGGGCTAGGGAAGATGGCTCAGTGGGTAATTCACCTGCTGTGCAAGCCTGAAGACCTGAGTGGGGATTCCCTGCACCTCTGTAAAATACCAGCTGTGGCAGCACGCCTCCATAACCCCAGTGCTGGGAAGTGACAGAGAGAGACAGGTCCCTGGGGATCGCTCCCAGCTAATTCATCCAGTCAGTGAGTCCCAGGCTTGGTGACAGACCTTGTCTCGAAAAATAAGGTGGAACGCAATAGAGGAAGATAGCTGATGTCAACATCTAGCTGGCTTCCACATGGATAGAACACACACATTGTACTGTATAGATAAAATGATTTTATATCTATCAATAATCTTAGTGAAAAGACAATATGGATCAAATTATTTCTGCAGTGTTTTCAGAGATACTGTCCAGCATACTGTCAAAGATGGCTGAGGATAAACCAACATCGACAGAAACAACACATAAGAAAAGCAGACCTAATGAGGTTTCCAGTACCAGGGATTTATCAGGTCCAGACTCTAAGGCAACCACAATCCCCAGGTTTAAGGACAAACCAAGCTTGGACAGTTTGGCAAGAAACTGAAAGTGTAAAGACTGACCTACCATTGGAAAAGAGAAAAATGAATTCCAGAACTCTTTAAAGAAATTACAACTGAAATAAGAAATTGACTGAAATGATTTGACATCAGAATAAGCAAATAGTTGAGGGAAATTTGTGAATTGGAAGATAGGCCAGAAAAACATAAAAGCAAAACCCCACTGGGTCCAGAGGTGGAGAGACAGAAGGGCAAAACTCAGGCGCGCTGTTTAATGTCTCCACAGACGATAACCCTGTGCTCTCTACAAGCTATGCACATCAACCACTCGTTCCAGTCGAGCACACATCTCTAGCTACACAACGTCTGTAACACTAGTGTTACATAATCTCCACGCGTGTGCATTGTCCCAGCAGCTGCACCGATGCTGGATTCCAGGACAAAATAATGACCCTGGTGGTTTGAGCCTCCATGTGAAGGAGAGGTGGGGCCGCCCAGTTTCTTTGGCTGCAGCCCCTATGTGGCACAGGTATTGCGCTGCTGTGGAGACGGAGAGTCCAGCCTCTGGTAAGCTGGGGGGCTGCTACCCTGGGAACCGATGGAGACTGCCTTGGAGACAGTGGCACAGCGCTTGAGATCATCAGCAGGCCGCTACGATCTGGGAGCTCGGCACAATGTCGGAGTCTACGGAGATTAAATAATTTCTGTGGAAATCTGGACGTCTGGCTAATGAGAATGCCAAAGCCGGTGTTTTGTGGTGGAGTCCAGGGCCATGGGTTGTTCTGGGATGGAATTCCTTCCCTTTGTAGAGAAGGGCAGCATGCAGCTCGTTCCTGTTGGCTCTGCTTATGAGCAGAGCAAAATGCTATATAAATATTTCTCCAGTATTTTTTTCCATAATAGAAACTTCCTAATAATATCTCTGTAAACAGTTTCTAATACTTTTGGCACGTGTCCATTTTCTCTTTTCTTATACAGTGCAGCTGGCTGACAAGATGTCGCAGTTGGCTTTATATTTTTCTTATATTTAAGATGAACATTACACTTGTTTCTCTTTCTTCCTATTCTCATTTATTTTTTGACGTGCTACTTTTAAAACTTCTATTTTTTCCTCCTTTTTTTTTTTCTATTGAAATATAACACTAGTATATCTTTATGGAGTGTGTTCTCATAGTTTGAGACGGGACTGCAATGCATGACAAACTAGCCAGGGTGAAAAGCACTTCTGTTACCTTGGATGTCAATTATTTTTATGTGCCAGGAATTTTTTTTATAGGGCAGTCATTTGGAAATGATAGTAGATTGCTTTGACTAATAGCTACAGTGCTGTGCTAGAGAAACCCAGGCCTGTGCTTCAGTGTATTTGGCTACTTTCTGCCTCCCTCACACTTCCTAACCTCTAATGACCACTGCTCCACTCATCCTTCTGTATGACTGAAGTTACGGTTTTTTATTAAATTATTATTTGACCGTTCATACATGTACATGATGCAGTCTGGTTATTTCCTTTCTCCAACTCTCTCCCCACTTTTACCCATGCCCCCGCACTGTCCCTTTTTCAGATTCATATGGCTTTTGGTTCTGTTTTGTGACACATTTAGTTCAAGCAGGGCCATCAGTGTGACTTTGGAATATGATGCTGAATTAAAAAGGGAAGGTACTTACCCGCACTGTATTGAGATACTGAATTTATCTTATTTTAATCATTTGGGCCAGGACAGTAGTTTTATTTTTTCCTTTTTTTCTGTGACTTCAGTCATTTAACTGTGTCTAGAAATAGTAAATGGAGCCAGGTGTGGTGGCACACGCTTGTAATCCCAGCACTCGGGGAGGCAGAGGCAGGTGGATTTCTGTGAGTTTAGGCCAGCCTGGTCTACAAAGCGAGTTCAGGACAGCCAAGGCTACACAGAGAAGCCCTGCCCTGAAATAATACTAATAATACTAATACTAATACTAATACTAATAAATACTAATGGCAAAATAAAGACATTGAAAAAGGCTGGGAGCTGGCTGTGGGGATACACATGAAACCTAGCCCTAGGGAGTCCAAGGCAAGAGAATTTGGAGTTTGAGGCTAGCCTGGGCCTCAGAGTAAGTTCCAGGTTAGCCTCCATCTTAGACTAGATAGGGAAAAGCAGTGTCAAAATAACTACCAAAATAAAACATGAAATCATGAAAAAGAATAGGAAACACTTAGTCAAGCACTGACTGATGACACAAACAATCAGACATGCTTAACCCACTCTGTGCTCAGATTCTAGACACAAGAGGCAAATCAGTAGAGAATATTCCCATATTGGCCCTTCCATGGAGCTGGAAGAAAAAAAAAAAGCAGAAATTTTAGACTGAGCATGACAGCTGATGGACATCCAGTCTGGCATTCCATCTTCCCTGACACACTGCCTCCTACAAAACTAGCAGAGAAAAGATTTTCAGGGTCATCCTGAAGATATACATAGTTCACACTTACACACCATGAAAAATGACATTTTTAAACACCACTCGAGTCACTATTCAAAGTCCCCCAACATCCAAAGAGGTTAGCCCTCGTGTCGAATCTGGCTCACGGATATGTCAAACACATAGACGGTACCCGGCCCTGAGCTCTCTCTCCACCCTGTGGGGATAGAAGCTTGCCCTTCACCTACAGCCTGTTCATTCCTTCCCTTACTTCTCGCCCTCTCCTTTTCTTCTTACTCAAACTTTGTTACCTCCTCAAGAGGCTAGGACTTTGTTTCTGGTACATTCTAAAAGGACAGACTCAAGATTTCCTGTGCGGCTGAGGACATTGGCTGACTGTTACTATGGAAGGACCACCTGGGTTGAGGTCCAACTCTGTTCTTGTTTTAGTTCTAGTGCCTTCTCTGAAAGAAGAAACCAGTGCTCTTCAAAACATTTTGACGTGTGAAGCTCTGTTAGGGTTTTTTTTTTTTTTTTTTTTTAATGAGCAGAAACTCTCACCATTAGTATTAGTTTATAAATCCATGCGATTACATATAGTTTATTTTTCTCTAATATTTTTGGGTAAAAACAGAAATTGCAATAGCTTCTCCCTCTACTTGTTCTCTCTCCCTGCTGCTGCCCGCTGACTGAGGCAAGGTGCATGATCTGGGAGCCTCACACGGGACAGGTCTGAATGCACCGGCATTACGACATCATGGCAGCTGCCACATTTAGAGTTCTTCCTGTATGGCAGGCCTTTACAGAAAACACAAAGTCCATCGATTGCCACGGGTCCCCCGTGTGGTAGACACTGCGGTTATCATTCTATTATTAAGAACCTGAGGCCGCTCGGTGCTGAGCTTGGCTTACCGTTGCCTCGGACAAGAGAATGGGCAGGCGAAGCGCGTCCCTTGGACCCAGAGCATGTGTCAAGAGGTGGAGGCACATCTCTTCAGGGCTTGACGGCAAACATTTGCTGAGTGTTTCCTTGTGCTAAGCTTGCACCAACACAGGGATGAAGAGAGACAGAGCCTGTGCCATCTGAAAACAGTTCTTCCAGCCTCTGATAACCCATGGGGTCCCCAGATCTGATTAAGTCAGTTTATCCGGATGAATGTATTTTATGATTTTTTTAAAAGTGACTGCATGACATTGCTTGTGAGATTTCGTCTTTTTTTTTTTTTTTCTCTCTCTCATCTTAAAATGTAACCTGGTACACAATCACAGCATGTTTGGAATCTGTTGACTTTGTGTCTTGGAGTTTTACCATGTGGCATGATTCTATTGGGTAAACGCATGGTGAGTTTCAAACCTCCGCTTTATGCTTAGAGTTCTAGAACACAGTCTTGTCAGGAGTCTGGGTTTTCGAACTCTTTCTAAGATGTGTGGCAGCCTTACTGTGCTGTGGCTAGCTATCGGGAGGTAGTCTGGGCATTCTGTGAAGGAGGAAGGTGTTAGTATCTTGGCAGCCTGCTTCTGGGTTGCCTAGCAACCTATGTGGTCATCATGTGTCGCCGGCCAGGTAGCCACACTGGCAGGCGTGGTTACATTCCTCTTTAAAAGGATCAACCCACTGTTTGTCTCTGTCTTGCTCTCTCTGCTCTTGGCTCTCTTGGCTCTTGCCCTCTCTTGCCCTCTCTCTGTCGGGGCACCCCCCCTCTCCCTTCCCCCATCATGTCCTGCTCTCTCCTTCTCTCTCTCCATCTCCATCTAATAAACCTCTTTCATATAAAATGTGCTGTGTGCTTCATCATTCATTGTCTTATTTGGTTCTAACAGGAACTATTGCTTGAGTGACTGGTTGACTTGCGC